TTAGAAAATTCTGTTTCTACACAAATGAAAAAAAAATCTTTTTTTAAAAACTAACATAAATTCACGAAATCCTGTCCTTATTCAATATTTTTTATTAAAATGAAGCAAGAAAAACAAACAGAACTTAAAAGCTATGTACATGTACACATCGTCCATGCTATATATATAATTTTTATTCTTATTATAATTGTACAAATGTTAATAAAAATATGACAGAAACATCACGTTATAAACCGTATAAAGTGTCAGCCAATGAAATTTACAGTATCAACTAATCGTTTCCTTATAAGTGTCGCAAGATGGCGCTGAGGTATCGTTGGGCTAGGAGAAACATTACGAAAAGCGTCGTAGTAACCAGGTAATATGGTTTAGCTAGTAGTTTTGATTGCGCTATCTAGCGTAAGAGATGAATAATATTACAGTTTACCATCCAAAGAGTCAGATGGTGATGAATAGAATTGTGGTGCTACAATCCATGTTTGCATAAATTAGTTGCTGTAATCCAATTTCACCAGTTGAGGGGCGTATAGGGTAAAAACTCCTGATGTATATAAAGAATGGATGAAATGGTGTCCGCGTTGGGAGTCGAATTTTCAATCGGCAAGTTGTGAGAATGACAGCTAAGGCCCCTCAATTAATGAATCAATTTAATGAATCAAATTAATGAATCAGCTACAATGTAAATGGCCTCTGGTAGCTATACCCTAAAATTTAGATGAGTAAATACGAAAAAAAAATTATATTGATATCCGTGGTTTGATGTGTGAAAATGTAATCTAAATTAAAGTTATTATTATATAAAAATTCTAAATACGTACCATAAAAAAAAACACTAAATCTTTGAATTCAGGAGTTACTTCGCAAGGAAACTTATTATTTTCTTAAGAATCTGATAGAAATCCGTGAATTTTCGGAAAGTTGCCGAAAATAATGCAAGACGAAACGAAATTTTCTTACATAGTATAGAACATTACGATAAATTGTCATTATTATAAAATAATAGAAGAATTAAAATGCAAACGCACCAACTGGAATATTAATCCCTTTATTTTATTCTTATTTTTTTCAACAATCTATATACAATTCGTAATTATTCACATATTAAAAATTCTGTAGGTTCGTCTGATTATATTTAGAATATGCAAAAGGAATTCATTCTCATTCGTAACATTGTACGTTTGAAAAAAAAACAAAAAATCAGAGCAAGTTAATATTCCACAAAGAAACTCATTCACTTCAGTTTATTAGTGAGAAACATTTTTCATCTGTACCAGCCGCTGCAGGCAAAAGTAAAATAAAAATAAATTACGAAACACGATGTAACTTAACCTTTGATCTCTCGTCATTTCAACTTGATTCAAAACGCCTGTAAACGCCAAGCCTGTCCGTCTTAACTACTTCAACTGCCCTTGCATCAACTTATTGGCGAATTTCTGAGAACAATGAAGATAGTTCCAGAAGTATTTCTTTTATTGTCCCAAATGATATCCACATAGAAGATGTAAAATCGTGAGTAGATTGTGTATTTTTTTTCCTTCTTATCTGAAGAAAAAATTAATATTTTACAAGGTTTTACGCTGTAATTACTCAGATTTTTCTTTGGGCAATAGTTTTTATTTTCAAATTTTATGAGTAAGCAAGCAAGTGATTCTGAATCAGAGAAGATACCGACTCTTTTCTTCTTTTTTTTCGAGTTGAAGAGTTTATTGGCAAAAAAAGTTTTAGAAATCATTCCTTGCGTGTACTCTTTGTTTTAAGTTATACAACAATAATTAAACATATATCTCACAATTTCTGTGACTGATAGCCGAATATAAGTGAATACAATGTGAAAATGCGAGAATGAAAATTTTTCTTATACTAGCATGAATCTTTTATTTATTTATGTATTTATTTATTATTCATTCATAAGTTTATTTATTTGTAGTAATAGTCGTTTAAAATTTTTTACTAAGCTTTAAATAAAAGTCAATATATTCAACTAAAACAATGAGTATAAAATTGTAAACCATAATTAGGTTTTTGTACATTAATAAATATTAAGAACGAAAATACTTAACGTGTTTTTTTAGTAATCAAAACTTATGCAGGAATTAAAGAAACAAAATTCTAGATGTTCGTTGCGATGGTAACCGACCAAAATAATTTGATTTAAATCTTAGCTTGGTAGAAACGGGAACTTAATAAGTTAAACAAAATTTGTGTTATAAAGAAAAATATTATGCAATCTTTCAATAAAGGCTTTTTAATTAAGATATAGCAATCTGTGTCAAGAAACGAAATATGATTGCAATAATTGTGGGGATGATGAACGAATCGAACAGGGGATGGAGTTATGTGTTAACTTATGCGAAGATGTTTAAAAAATCAAATGAAGTAGTTATTTTTTTTTTCATGCAGTATAATGTTCTTTATATATTATATAAAAATTTCTAAAGGCATTTCTAAATTTAAAAATATATATTTCATTATAATATTTTTGCACAAACTTTCTGACGAAAATAAGATAAGGATAAAAAAAATTAAATAGCTATTCGTATAATAAAAGCATGATGTTACCATTATCAGCGTAATGTGAAATTTAACTTAGAACTGTCGAAAAATCGACCGGCAAAGTTTCAAATAAACATTTCTCACATAGAGATAGAATGCGAAAAGGCACTAAAATTCAGCAAAATTATCTAATATGATAATTTTATGCTTTTAATTTTTATGAACATTATTTGTTAATATTAATTGAAAGTAATTTCTCGGTGAAGCAGGTAGATTCATATTTTATTTTCATTAATAAGAAAGGCATTAGTAATTTTTAGTTATCGTTGAGTATTATTAATAATTACCGGATTTACTAGGATCTGTGGGCAATTCCTTAAACTGGTGCTTCTTAAGGTAAAAGATAATTAGCAGGTATATTCTTTCTATATTGATGGGTTTTTAAAAAAAATAATAATACTGGCCTTTGCTCGGTATTTTCTACATTAAGTACAGGGCCGGTATTCCCTTCATGGATATTTTTATTAATTGTTTACTACTGATGATAATCAAACAAGTAGGTTAAAGAAAAATCTGTTTTTTACTGAGAAATTGATTAATTGACTAAAGAAAAATAATGAATTTTTTATTTCTTTTATTCTCATATTTCTGGCTTTGTTTAACAAGCATTAAGAATAACGTTTTAAAAAAAAAATTGTAAAAAGGATATAACTAAAAATAAAACTAATTAACCAAGGAAAAAGTAACCTCTTTCTCAAACAGGTCACATGGCTATATCTGTTAAATCTACTTTCTGATATTTTACCAAAGTCTTTTTGAAATTAATTTATTTTTAGTTTATTAAATTATTTTTTTAAAGACATTACCAATTAGTTTTCAAACTTATTATATTTTTATTTTTTGAACTATTTTCGTATTGATATTTTTTATTTTAATTAATCCTCTCCTAATCCTAATTTTAATTAATCCTCTCCTCTCCTAATCCTGATCCTCTCCTAATTCTAATCCTCTCCTCATCCTAATTTTAATTAATCCTCTGAGATTATTTAATTTTTTTCCGCTTTGTTTACATTTTTCATACTTATGGTCAATACAATTATAAAACATGTTAAAACAATTAAAATAAAACACGTAGTAGTTAGCTATCTATCCTATTTTGCTGTGGGAGTTAGGCATTTGAAAAATAACTTCGAATATTCGAATTAGTGAAGCTAATTTCAATTTTTTTCCCCCTTCACTTTTTTCTTCCGTCTTAAATACTGTAGTTACACATCAACTAGGACGCAACACTCGAAAACAAATTCGGGAATCGGTATGCTAATACAAACAATCCTTGAAAAACATCTCAAACGCAGTGGCCACTTTTCCAATTTCTCATTCATGAGCACTTGTAGGTTGTAAGCATCCAATCATTTCAATAATGAAAATGACATTCCGAAACGAAACAAACACTCAAATACGTAAAATAATATATACTTATGATACGCCCTGGTTAAATGCTTGAAGTTCTTCAAGGAAGTGCAGCTGGTTCTACTCTGGTAAAATTGAAGCCAAAGGCGTGGTTTTGGTAACTCAATCTCTTTCGCGTGAAAGGCTTGCACATTCCGTACTTGTCTTATTCAATATGTTTCGTATCTTGTCAATTACCATCAGCTTTTTGAATCTACGTTGATGTAGAAGGGAGTGTTTGTTGTCAGTATACATTGTTTTCGTGTAATCGATTGCAACAAGGTGGATTAGATTGAGTTTGATATAGCGTTGGCGTTATTTTTGTAATTAGTACTTGTTATTCTTGTCTTATATTCTTTCCTGATATCTATAAATTGACTTCGTAACTTTTTTTTTATAAGTTAATGAAATTACTACATAAAATATGTATTTAACCTTAATAAATTTTTTAATTTAAAATTAGTAATAACTATATGTTTCTGAACTCTGATTTCTTAGATTTAGCAACCTTTATTGCAAAAGTAATTTTTTTGGTCTGTGAGTAAAATATATTTATGAATCAAACTTCATGGAAGCATTTACGCATAAAACATAAAAAATTAAGCATTTCATAAAATATTTGAAAATGTTTGATTTCCTCGCATCGTTATATTAACGGTATTATACTATTATCACCATGCATTCTATCTAATGTTATCGTTAATTAGGAATTTTTTACTGTACAAAATTTCTTATAGTCGAAGTACTTATCGTNATAGGTTATAAGTACAATCACGTACGAGATGTTTCATATTAGCACTGTAATATCCATGTAAATTTACCTCATTCATGTGTTTGAACGTTGAATTGAGTTGTATATTGATTTTTGGAGTCGATCAAAATCTGTGCTCTAAGATAAGTTTGTAAATCACGTTATACTAACAATCATTATTGCCACGATGCACCGAAGTTCGTTTCAAACTAACTTATATCATTTAGTAACTGTCAATATTATTAATCTAATAATGCAATGCAGTGCATAGGAAGTAGTGTATCTAAGTCTATGTATTTACTTCCAGGTCCTGATGCAGTGGCGTAACGTGGAAAGATGACGAAGAGGGTGGTGGGGCTCTTGCCCCTTTTTGAGATTTACTTCTTAGCTTGCCTTGTCACGCTGACGATTGGTATACAGAGGGACCAAGGCATCTCGGACACTCGTGCCTATGCGGGACGCATCTTTACTCTCGAAATACCGAAAAACGCTTTCAAAGGTGCTATAGAAAAATTGGAGGTAAATATATTAAATTGCATGTTTGTAAAATATTTCAATGAACTACAGGAATTTTATTAACATTTATGTACAGAATGTCATCTATAGTTTCTGTACTTGCGAAATCCAAAAATATATTGTTACACTAAAAAGAAATATGGTCACAATTTGCAGAATATGGTAAAATTTGCCGTCTTTCTGGTTCTATGACAACACCAAAAGATAATGGTAATTTTTATCGAAGGTCTTTGGTAATGTTTACGGTAAAATTAACAATAAAATACGGTTTTTATAATGTGCGATAAAATTTGGTAATTTTATCATGATACCTTTGAACACGGCATGAAAACCTTTTATCCGGTAAAATTTACTTTTCCGTTTTGTATCCGTACAAAATGTATGGTAATAAGAAGAACAGTGATTTTTAAGACCAGAATTTCCGTATTTCCGGTAAATCGGTAATTCATAGAATAATCTTTTTGATAGGTATAGGACGAAATATCATTTGAGAGTTAGAGGCCCTTAGCAGAAAATGTTGGGATACGTGTTGTGTTAAAAGCTTTGAATGATGAGTAAAGATATCATGAAAAGGAAAAATTTCAATAGTTGTGACTTAATTTCCATTTCTTTTTTGCTAAATTTCTTTTCATAGAAAAATAATAAAAAGGATCTTATCTCTTTCGATAAGAAACTAATTTATAATTTATGATTATAATTTAACGTAATGAAATAATTGATTTTAATTTTTTACACTTATTTCATAATTAATATCTGTTGTCATTAAACAACATGTCCATTAATCCGAATCAACTCAATTTCAAAAAATGGATTGCGGCCGGAAATGTTGCTGGTGTGACGAAAAGTTTTCGCAATATTTTCTCCTGGTGGGTAGCTGTACTAATCATAAGAAGAATGATAACCGAGCAACTGTCTGTCCATTAATTCCGTTTCTGAAAGCAACCCATAATAGAGGGATCAATGACAAAGGACCACTGTAGATTTCCTGAAGCTATGGAGCTAAAATCAATGACCATTGATTTATGGGTTATATGCACTCCATAGCTTCATACTATTCTATTTGGAAACGTTAAAAGTCAAAAAGGCTAATTTATATGTTTCTGTTAAACTTTCTCGTGGAGTTCTCGTCTTGAAATGACAAAAATTGATCATACACAGTCAAGAGCAATTATAAAACCTCTGCAAAAATTCCAGTAGGAAATCTTGAATAACCCACCTTATAGTCCAGATCTGTCTCCGTGTGACTTCCACGTCTTTGTAGAGCAAAAACAAAAATAAATGAATAGATAATAATAATGAGACATCGGTTTGAAATGAAAAATGAAGTCAAGGTGTGCATGTACGGCACTATGGCCTAAACTACAACTAATTTTTTTTTTACGAGTATGGTATTGTTGAACTAGTATCACAATGAAACGAATGTCTAAACCAGTGATTCTCAACCACTGTGCCGCAGCACTTTTGTGTGCCGCCCCAAATTCTTAAAATGTGCTGCCAAATATTGGAAATGATACAATAAAAATTATAATGCTTTTTTTTATTACGAGTAAAGTTTAAATTTAAAAAAAGTGCATATATATATTGATACTTTTTTATAATTTTTCCACGCTTTAACCGCGCGAACATCTTTGTCATTGATCGTCTTGTCTCAGACAATCTTAAAATAAGTTAGAATAAGAAGGAAGTGTTTAAATTGTCTTTGACAATTTTAAAAAGTGTTGAAATTATAAGTAGGAAATTTAATGGCTATTAAATTTATTAATTAACAAAGGAAAGCAAGCTAAATATTAACTTTCAAATTGAAATAAAAGCTAATCATTAAAGTAAGCTGTGCAATAAATAGTTATAAAAACAAATTAACAAAGGATAACTAACAAAAAATAAGCTAACAATTAATATTTAGCAAAAACACTAGTTAACAAGAAATCACAAAAAATAAGAATTAGTGTAAAAAACCAACAAATAATAACTATATAAAACAAACTAACAATTAATAACTGGCAAAAAAATAAATAACTGTTACTAACTAATAAAAAAATTAGTAGAAAGAAATAATTAATTCCTTAATAAACGTGCTTTTGTAGTACATATTATTTTATTTCACATTGAAAATTATTATCACAAACTATTTAAGACAGTGTATTATTGGTAAGTAAACAACTTCTAAACTAATTTTTTTCATTTTGAGCCGTCAAATTTTGAAATCGTTGATGGTGTACCGCCACACAAAAAAAGGTTGAGAATCACTGATCTAAACGTTCGTAAACAATAGTTACGAGTTTCCGTAAACAAGTAGTGTGAAATAGGCTCTGCCTCATCATTTAATAACTGTATACATATAAGATCATTTAAAATTGAATATCACATTCCATACGCAACATTTTTATGCTTACATTTTTGTGCAACAGGTAACTGAAGCGGGCGAGAGTGGCTTACCAAGTTGGTTAGAGTTTGATCAGAAACATCATACTTTTAAGGGAGTGCCGAGTTCATCCGATGTTGGGCAGCTCTACGTATGCGTGAAAGCTTTAAGTAAGTATGCATGTAACGTAATAAAAATGTACCATGTGTTATATTTGAATGTATATTTTTTTAATCATTGTTAATTATTTTTTAAAAAATGCGCAAAAGTTAAACATTTAGTATAACTTTTGATCTAATAATCATATCTTCACGAGCTATTGCTGAATATTAAATGGTTTTTAGACCCAACTTTAAATATGCTAATTATGCTGTTTTAATGCAGGCGATATTTTAAGATACGAAATCACACACAACAACGTATTTTCTCTGATAAAACATTCCTTTCATTTCGTTACGGATTTGGATTTCCGACGTTCAAAACATAGGATACGGCCACAACCGAGAAAAAATGGTCTTAATAGATCAGGCAAGAGAGCGATCGACAGTTTCTGTCTCTTAAAGTTAATTTCATCGTCTTCTTTTGTTGCTCTACAGCCTATTGCGGGTCAAGGCTGACTCCAGAAGTTTCTGCTGCTACAGTGCAAAGTTAATTTCACTTATCGTTTTTTCGCCATATCTTCGATACTAATCAAGTGAATTAAAAGAAATTTACACACAATTATAAAACTTGTTTATCCAAAAATAATTTTAATAAAAATAAACTTGTTTATTAAAAATAATTATCCAAAAATAATAATAATTAAAATTATAAAAATATAAATGTAAAAATTTATTTTTCTTATTATTTTTAAAACTATTAATTATTTTTATAGTTTTATAGTTATTTATAATTTTTATTATTTAATTTGCTGATTGTCGAAAAAATGCTGAAATGTAAAATTTATAAATTTTTATACCTATTTTATCTAATCATTTTAAATGGCGAAATCACAAAGGTATAAATCAAAGAGTATATCAATGTTTTTGAGAATTAAAGTTTTAAGATGCATCTTCCTTGATCGCTTTCCTGTTTAAACTATTGGGACCATATTTTCCAGATTGCATATGTTTCTTGTAATTTGAGGGTCTAGAATCCAAATCTGGCTAGAAAAAAGTGTGTTTATTTTGAGAAAATACTTTTTTGAGAAAATCTCACTACCTGCAATTTCTCGCAAATAAACTGTCGTAGTTTTTAAATAAAAATAGTAATTATGAGGCTTTTAAAATTCCAACTAAAAAGTTTAAAAATTTGTTTTTAAGAAAAAATTTTGAATATTATTCCTTATTAACATAGTTGAAACAAACAATTGGTTGAGATTTTTTTTTAATGTTAATATTCAGAATTTATCAAATTATCTGTAATTTGAATCATAAAACTGCGCAAATTTGCTGTGGTTTTAATAAGTTGATGGTTCAAGTGGAACCATAATATAGTTGAGAAGTGCGTTAATTTAGTTCGCCTTATTGCCATATTAAAGTTTTAGCAAATTTGAAGGTCATTAACATCACTCTCCAAAATTTCAAATAATGTAAGCAAAATAGATAAAATATTGTATTTGAAGTTAGATTAGTTTGCCAAAATTAAAGAATTTGGTGGCTGCTAGAAAAACAGCGCACCTTTTAGAAGCAAATAGTTTTACATTATCTGTGGTTTTTCTTTTTTTTTTAATTTTTTATATCCGTCGTTGAACAGCCGACCCAATTTCGGGTTTACGACTACTAAAGTTCAACTCCGTAGCCTTGTAATTTTAAACCAATTCAGAAGACAAAGAAATCCCTGGATCAGCACCCCAGAGGTATGATTTGTTATAGCAACATGGAGAACTTTGTGACTCGATAGATTTAACATGCATCAGTCACCGTTTACTACACGGGAAGTCTTCAGCCAGCGGGGATCGAACCCACAACTTCTTGGACATGGGCCCACTGCCCTACTAACCAGGCTATCCCGGCCCTATTATCTCCCAGCCGCAAAAGGGTTAATAAACTGTAGTGAGCCGTGGTGGCTCAGGGATTAGAGCACTCCCCTCCCAATGGGGTGATCCGGGTTCGAATCCAAGCGATGGCTCATCGAAATAAATTCCGCACACGGCTCGCACCGACCACAGTGCTGACATGAAATATCATCAGTGAAAGACAAATTATGAGTTAGAATCCATTTGCCATCAGGCTAACCATGGTAGGTTTTCTTGGTTTTCCTCTCCATGTTACGCATATGCGTTTTAGTTCCATCCTCCGAGAAGGGGCAATTTTATCCCAATATTTAATCCAGGAGTTTCCTTGTCTTCTGGATTGCGCTCAAAACTACCAGGTTACATAGTTGAACATCAGTAGTCGTAATCTTGCCGGCGTCAGGCCTTACAGCCATGCGGGCGTTCCCCCACGGAGTAAATCTGTCCCTATCTAAGTAGTCGTAATTCAAAACTGGGTCAGCTGTTCAACGACTTTTATAAAATAAAATAAAATAAATTGTAGTGATACAAAATAAAAAGAAATAAATTGTAGTGATACAAAATTAACTAGTTTAAGATTTGTCTGAATTCAGTGTAACCAACACAAACACATTGTACATAAATTTATGTTGCTATTTTTTTATTGCGTAAAATAAGGTACATAATTTTTTTATTCCTCTTATAGCTCATGATTCTTCTGCTAAAGATGTGTTTTCCATAGAAATAACAGAAGATGCACCTATAACTGACTATTGTCCTTTTGGAAAAGACGAAACGATCGTAAGCGTGGTTTTCGATGCGACTTTGTCTGATCTGAAGCCGCCCGAAAAATTTAATATATTGAGCTCTGTTTCGAAATTCCTCGGTGCTTCAGAACCAAGACTAAAATTGTCCTCTTTGCATCGCGATGAAAGTGCATTCGATCCTGGTGCTATTAGAGCTGGTCCTGGTAACGCTCTACAAAGAAATTACGAAGGAACTCAAATACAGTTTAAAGTTGGATGTGGGGGAGAAGTATCTTCCGAATCTGAACCAATTTTGGATAATCTTGAAAAGTCAGCTTCCAATGGAGAATTGTCTGATACGATTGGATACCTGATCGTTGGTTGGCAAGTATCGGGTACGAGTAAAGTAATTCAAAATGTCCGAGAAAAACGAAATGTTACTCCATTTAATGCAACCCCCGTACCTAAAATGCACATAACTCGATGGCCAACATTTACAGAGAGAGTTGATGAAGCTGAAACGAGAGAAATTGTACCTGATGTAAGAATCGTCCCCACAATGTCATCGCCACGTTTCGTTGATCGCACAGATGACCATAAGCACAGGCATCATCACGGACATGATCCTATACGAAGAGAACATATGTTTATATCATATGAAATTCATGCCTCGCCTACTTATCATTATCATCCTTTGCCGTCTAGTCGGCGAGAATCTGGAGGAACTCCTGTTGTTACTCCGGTATTACTTCCTGAAAGACCCACGACTGCTGTCTTACCGACTCGAATATATGATGTTGACGGAACAGTATCAATTACACGAGAACGACCGAGACCACCATCTGAGGATATCTTATCGAGATGGTATGTTCCTACGAGTGATTTCGCTACAGTGGATATTTTACCAACAAAAAGTCGATCCACTGTTGAGCCAACGAAAGTCATACCCCAGATGCCCAATTTCAAACCGACTGTTAATAGTAGAACCAAAAAATTGTCTTTGGTTGCTGGAAAAGCTTGGAGTTATACCATTCCTATCGATACATTTATAGACATGGAAGATGGTAACACTAGAGACTTGAAGTTGATGTTTATGACATCGGAAAGGACTTCATTACCTTCCGGATCTTGGATTCAGTTTGATCCAGAAAATCAAGTTATTTATGCTTTACCGACGAGTGAAAACATTGGTAAACATGAATTTGTTCTGGAAGCTATGGACAGTGAGGGCGCCTCCACGTTTGATAGAGTGGAATTACACGTGTGGCAACATCCTCAAGCGGATGCCCTAACACATTCATTTACAATGACTGTCCGTTACAACAAATGGCAATATCCTGTCGGAATAGACTGGCAGATTGAAATCCTCAATAGAATCGCACTCATGTTTGAGGACCGTGACAATTCCAAATTAAGCATGGTAAATGCTACGCTGGATCCTGTTAAAATCACGTGGACGAATGACACTTTACCAACGGATCACTGCCCGCTGGAAAAAATCAAAAAGATTTACGATATAATTGCTACAGCGGAACACCATCCTACGAAAGAGATGAAAAAGATAATGTCCCCTGAATTTAGAGTTCAGGATATCAATGTGAATTATCGTGGTGTTTGTGAAGGTGTTGTTACCACACCACCACCTCCTTTGAATTTCTCACCCATCTTACGAAATGCCATCAAACAGATTAACGTTACTGTTGGTGATATAATTAAATATAAAATACCAGAAAATACGTTCTACGATTTTGAAGATGGGCCAACGCGTCATCTACGTTTAACTTTGTTAACTTCTGATAATATTCAACCACCTAAGTCATATTGGCTACAATTTGATTCTCGTAGTCAAGAAATTTATGGTCTGCCTACAGATAATGAAGTTGGTCGACATGATTTCTTAATAAATGCCGTCGATAGTGATGACCACGTGGTACCAGACAACTTCATCATTCAAGTATTTCGTTACCCGATGCGTCAAAGACCGCCTGTGGAGTTCAGTGTTCAGTTCGATCTCGATTACGACGAGTTTCAGTCTGATACTAGTAAGAAAACTCTGGTTGCCACTAAAATCGCGAGGCTCTATGGAGATCCAGACCCTAGGTACATAACTATTACAAACATAACACGTGGCTCGGTGGTATATAGTTGGAGTAACAAGACACTTGGGTATGAGTACTGCCCTCTAGAAAAAATTAATCACCTCGTGAAATACATAATTAATACTGATGGTTCTCTTTCATCGAATTTAATTCAAATCATGGAGCCAGAATTTAGAGTTGTTAGTGCCAACGCTGAACCGACAGGAATTTGCTTAGGTGGCGTTGCGCCTACTTTCGTAAATATCACCACTACAACTCCTACACCATCACCATCGCCTGATGAACTGGAACCTACATTGAAGACTTCTACCGACGACGACATATACATTACTACCATTGTTCCGGCAATAGTCATAGCGGTAATGCTTGTCATAGCGGCTTTAGTAGCTTACTTTTTGTACTGGAAGAAAAGGAAGGGCAAAATGAGCTTAGGAGATAAGGACTTTATTGGAAGTGGAGTTCCCGTAGTGTTTGCGGGTGAGTTAGAAGAACAAAAACCAGATCCTGGAAAAGCCCCGGCTATAATGAAAAATGAGAAGCCCCCACTATCCACAGATTATTTGTTTAATCCATTTCGAAGGGGCACGGCTACTGTTCAAGATTCAGTACCACCAACAACAGCTAAAACTCGTGATAGTGCGCATCTTAGAGACAGAAAAGAAAATGCAACGCTTTATAAACCTCCACCACCCTTTGCATCCAGTAGAGAGCCAAAAAGCACACGCCCAAAAAGTACTCAAGCATATAGACATGCTACATACGTGCCACCTTAAATTTCCTTTTACTTTCATTGAAAATAAAAATAAAAACAATTCTTTAGATCTCATAGAATGAGTAACAAAGTGATAATTTTATGTTCACACGAATTTCATTTAATTTCTTAGATCGTCAATAATTTGTCATACTGTTTAGTGCTTCTTGTGTACATACATACTTAAAAAAAAGCTTCGGAAAGTGACAAATTTAATGTAGCTTGCAATTTTAGTTTGTTTTTAGTTTATTACTAGAAACTTAATGAGGTGCACAAAATTATTATGTTTTACCACTTTGTTTGTAACTTTAAAAAAAAAACTATGAAAAGTTAAAGTAGATCCAAAAAAAGAAGTATTAACTTTGTGCTGTATATAAAAAAAAGTAAAACAACCTGAAAAAAATACGAGAAAAAGCACTTGTTTGTTTTAAGTAAAGCATTCCAACAACAGCCCGGTGTAGGCCAAAGGGTCATGATGACAAAGGCTGAGCAATTTTGTGACCAACGGCATTATTGTGGAAAATATGGTCTTCATAGAGCACAAGCCGCCTTTACTTCCCCGACAACAAGCTGATATCCATCTATCGGAATCTAGATTGGCAGTCACTGGGGATCGAACCCAGTCTTTTCCAATGACAGTTCAGTATCTTTATCCAGACAGTCATAGCGACTCACTTGTCTGTTTATGCGACATTTTTTGTGCTTTTTTCACGTTGTTTTAACTTTATTTTCCTGTACATGTTGATTAAAAATTACTATCTGATCACCAATGATTAGAATATTTTTAAATAAACGCTATAAGGTTAAAACTAAAACAAGATTCAAAAAATAACTTTTTTTTGCTCTGCTCTTTAACTCTGTATGGTCACAAAAATGACATTTAAAAAAAAAAAAAAATTATGTTTTTCGAAAACTTTCTAAAACATGTTTAAATTTGAGTCTCATATTCTTGCATAAGTTTTTAGACAGATTGAATTATGTCTACCCTTATTGGGTAGCCATTTTCTAATAAGATTACTCTTTGCTTCATTCAGCTAATATTACACAATTATTGTTACGGTCAAATGACGTGATCGACAGTTGAGCCGATCCTGCTTCTAATTTACACAGTAATCGTATCTGGAAACAGTACTCATTTTGTAATCTTAGAACACCTTGATCCTACCCGGAATCGAGCCCACAAATTCCGGCGCTGAAATGGGGTCTGAGTGGTGGTTTGTCACATATGTAGGAAGAAACTGCAGTAACTTCATCCTAACGTTTATTACAATTATCCTTGTGACCAAACTGCTTTTATTACCTTGTCCTTGTGAAGAAAATTTGTTACAAATTTGATAAATACTTTCAACTTGTATGTTTTTTTATTTTATCTTTACTGTCTGTATAATGACAATAATTTTGACTATCCTCTTAATGATATAAAAATGATTTTTTTTTTACAGATTCCATGTATATATTTTATTTATATTAATATTATACTGCATAAATATATTTAAATCTGTTATCAAATGAATACTAAACAGCAAAATATTGTAGAATTATTTCACATTTAAAATATTGCAAGTTAATATTCTTTTATACAATTTCATGCCTAAACAATGTTAACCTTTAGAACTATTTTGTCCTTAAAATGGCTAAAGAAATAATTACCTCTACCATAAATAAAAGAAAATATTTTACAAGCTTAGATTTCATAATTGATATCGAAACAAAGACAAAATTAATTAAAATTTAATTAGAACTAAACTTTAGTTAGTATTTAGTAACGTTTAAATATGTATAAAAATATTTTTAATAGTTCGAAAATTATTATATTCCTATATTTCATATAAAATTTAAAAAAATTATTATGAAATAATACACATATTACTTTCTTTGTTCTTAAGTTATGATATAAGGATGGGGCCAATCTGAGGGCATGGGACCCGTTTTTGACCACTCATCGGGAAGTTTTTCCCTTCGTATTAGATTAACAGTATCGCCACTCCAGTAAAATAAGTTTATAAAATTTTAAAATTCTAGAATGAACACTAATGTTCTTGACAGGATTTTTTTTTAAATCACTTTTATTGGCTTTAGTGTACTGTCTTACGCAGCACAAAGCGTTAAAATTACGAATCAGATAAGTCATAATTAGTATTGTAAAAGTTAAATACAAAAATGTTTTAAAAAATTTAAGCAATTTTTTAATTTAGTCCCTAAAACGAAGTTATATCCATATTTCTGCTGTCACTATTGAATTCATTGTTTTAAAACCATATTTTTACAGTATGTTTGAAATATTTCCAAATCAACGGCCACATAGTAAACCAAAATGAGACTTTAACAAAAGGACACTTTCGAAATACTGAGTTAATATGGTTTTTGCTCAACGATTTATAACTCATCTGCAACCTTACTTTCCAAAATGGGATCTATTTCAAAAAGTTAAGATCAAGATTAGATTTATACTTAATCTTGAAACATTAATCCGCACCATTTTTAATCCTAAGAAAATACAATTCTAATTATTATTTGCAGCATTTGATAATGTAGAAGTATGTACGTAAACCAAATATGTATTAGATATTATTTTTGGTTCAAACCTTTCTTTTTGTAAATAAGAATAAATGTGTTTAAAAAATATAGGCAATAACATCAAATATTTTTCAAACGCATATTGTTATATTGCTAAAGCTAATTACTTTACTTAGACTTATGATATAGTTAATGTTTTTCAGAGTCTAATTAATGTGTGCATTTAAGATTCCTCGTTGTTTTGACAAACGTCCATCCACGTAACTCAAATATATATTTAAAATGTACTATATTAAAAATAAATATTGATATTAAGAAAAAGCTATATCTATGTATTACATATTTATCTTTTTCAAGAATGAATTGAAAAAAAAATGTTTTAAATATTCGTATAGCTCATTAAGAATTTCAAATTTTTGAAGTTTAAAAAGTTTTATAATCAAGATTGCCATTATATATTCGTAATTTGGCTATTTTTTAACCCCTAAATAGTCAATACTTATTTATTATTATTCTCTCTATCTTTACAACGGTGCGTTCAACTGTTAAACGAGTTTTCTGCGACGAACTATTCCAATTATAAATACTGCTATTTTCATTTCCAAGCACTACATATATCAACAAATACAATTCAAAATCGCCAATGACACAGTAATCAGTTTCCCTCATTTTACAATTAACGACAAAATCTAATTTTATATTTCTTGACAATTTTAATTATCAAATAATAAATTTATTCTCTTTTAAAAGATAAAATTTTGTATTACAATTTATGACTAATTTACTAAATTTGTTAGACAGAAAGTATTGAAAAGCTATATCAATTAAGTATGTTGAATTTGTTTTTTGATTGATTTTATTATTCATACTTTATAAATCAATAAATTCTTTCAATAAATACTAAATAATTTCCAAAAATAATCTGGAACTATGTTTACAAAAATAAAATATATATATAAATAACATGAGAGAAACGGATGGTACAATCTTGTACCTTTTCAATATTTCTTCACTTTGAGCATGTACAGTTAGCATTCAGTTGTATAGTTAACATCAAATTAGGTGACATTTATTTCTTTATGAACTATTAAATCTAGGAAAATTTCAGCTATATTAAGACTTTTGTAACCTTGTCTACCTAGAACCAAACGACCGCTTGGTACTTTTTTTGTGATCATTATTTATTTTTTAAAAATCCTTTAAACTATATATATATATATATAATTTTTTTTTTGGTACCATGCATCGTTCTAGGCAGGAAAAAAAACTGATCTTCTGTTAACCCTAGATAACTTAACATTCGTCTAATAGACTACCGACACCTGCTAATTTTACGAATTTGAGATTTTCCTGTTGAGCTCACACTACCTTCATTACTAGTAAAATGAGTTATCCAAAGGTGATAAGCACAGCTGTACGCTTATTTTTCCAGATTTACTGTAATCGTCGTCGAATGTTTAATTATAGCATGCAGATGTTCGCGTCGATACCATCGTGTTTTTTCATTTTTCCTGTATTTTATAACTATTCTAAATATATTTTTTTTCTGTCTAAGAAAAGTAGAATGACAAAATACATAAGCAACAAGGCTTCTCGTGGTGAGCACTCTTTAACTACTGACAAGAGTGCAAACGATAATTTAAATTTTTTAATGGATATTATAGATCATTTTTTTAAATTGCTTTAAATACGCTAATAATTTGAAATATATGAAGGAAATATACTTGTTTAACACTGATTTAAGTTTATTTATCTAGGGTAAAATAAATTTGACATCTATAAAATTGTATTTTAACATTCTAAAAAATTTTATTATTTATTTAAACGTTGCTATTGTGTCGTTTCAATTTCATTGCCCATGTATTTTGCTTGTGTGATTTTCTGTACATATGCTAACTTTAATTTAAACCAAAATGGTTTATGAATGTGCCAAATATAATTTTTTCTTCTGTTTTCTCCATATTACAATCATAAAATATCGTATTATAGTTGATAATTGAAATGAAGCATTAATTTCAAATATTTTAATAAATGTTGAAGTGTGCTATAAATGTTGAAAGCTATTTTATTCTAAGCGATGCTTGTAAATTTATTTTTATTGCATTTATGTGTTTAACTCGAGTGCTTTTCTCATGTGTAGTTGAACTTGTTAAAGTTTTTCATTCACAAAGAACATAATAATGTTGAAAATATTTATGAATTAATTTAACAAAACTAAAATAAATCAAACATAAGTCTCCTTTTTTTCCTCTCTAAAAACTTCTAATAGATTGTAATTTTTTAATTCAATAAAAAATTTTATAAAATACATTGGAATAATTTATTGGGTTGAGATTTTAAGTGATCTTGATGTTTCACCACATTTATAATTTTCTTTTATCTTTATTTCGGATATTTGAATAGAACTATAACAAATGTGAGGTTTTAAAAGTAGTGATAATCTATCCAGGGGTAGCAGCAAAGTTTTTTAAAATTTTAGGGTAATTTTTGGACTTTTTTCAAAAAATTTTAGGGATAATATATGATTTTGTTAGGATAAAAACAGATCACACGGTAGTTTATTACATAACAGAAGATTATTACAATTCATCCACACATATCATAAATAATTGCAAGCCATAAAATAAAGCTCTGAAATTTATTAAGTCAAGAATGAAATCTCTAAAGTGTAAAAATGAAATTTCAACTTTACATATTACCTATCAGAAATTAAGTGCATAATTCAGGAACAGGCAAAAGTGAGAATAAATCAAGAGAAAAAATAAATTAACACCAACTTGGATTTTTATTTAATTTTTACCTTCTTAATCAAAACTTTATTATTACCCTTTACCTTACTTTATTAAGAAAAACTATTGTGTGATATTATTAGATTTCAAATCAGCAATTTATATTAGAAGTTAGAGAAAAACAAATTAATCATGATCATTTTTCTAATATATTCTTGATATGATTTGTGAGATTCTTTTACTGCCCTCAATAGTGTTGTGGTGATCTTCAACACTCCTCCATAATTTCGAATGGTATCTTTGATTAGTCTAAGAGACATAATAGTATTCTCATGGTGACTCACATTAAGCATTGCTTTATTTATCGAAAAACCTCTCTCAGGATCAGAATTCCCATGTGGCAAAATTAAAACAGTTTTAATTAATGTAGTTAAATTCTTATATTTTAGATTATTGCTTTTTTATTTATATTTAGCCTATAACTCTAATTTTTTAGGAACACCAACAAAATTTTATCAGATTTTTAGGAATTTTAGGGTTTGCACATACTTTTAGGAATTTTATGAATTTTAGGGGGAATGCGACCCCTGTCTATCACTACTTTTTACTAATCACGCAAATTTCTAGCGTGATAAATTTTTAAAAAAAGTTAATGGTAATAATTACATTGGGGAAGAATAAATTTTTCGTTATTGCATGAGAATTTTCAAGTCGCTGATTTCAAATCTGCAATCGATTTCTCTACAAGCTACACTTCTTATGCAATTCAATAATATATTCTTAACCAGGATAGTATATATATGTACATATATTTATACGTTCTTCATAAACTTTTACATTCAGACAAAATATAAACTGAACCAAAATACAATTTTTTTTTTAAAAAATCTGTAGCTTTCTGAACAAAACTAATTTCGAATTCCCACACCCGAGTTAACTAAGATCAATTACAAAANAATTAACACCAACTTGGATTTTTATTTAATTTTTACCTTCTTAATCAAAACTTTATTATTACCCTTTACCTTACTTTATCAAGAAAAACTATTGTGTGATATTATTAGAATTCAAATCAGCAATTTATATTAGAAGTTAGAGAAAAACAAATTAATCATGATCATTTTTCTAATAAATATATTCTTGATATGATTTGTGAGATTCTTTCACTGCCCTCAATATTGTTGTGGTGATCTTCAACATTCCTCCATAATTTCAAATGGTATCTTTGATTAGTCTAAGAGACATAATAGTATTCTCATGGTGACTCACATTAATCATTGCTTTATTTATCGAAAAACCTCTCTCAGGATCAGAATTCCCATGTGGCAAAATTAAAACAGTTTTAATTAATGTAGTTAAATTCTTATATTTTAGATTATTGCTTTTTTATTCATATTTAGCCTACAACTCTAATTTTTTAGGAACACCAACAAAATTTTATCAGATTTTTAGGAATTTTAGGGTTTGCACATACTTTTAGGAATTTTATGAATTTTAGGGGGAATGCGACCCCTGTCTATCACTACTTTTTACTAATCACGCAAATTTCTAGCGTGATAAATTTTTAAAAAAAGTTAATGGTAATAATTACATTGGGGAAGAATAAATTTTTCGTTATTGCATGAGAATTTTCAAGTCGCTGATTTCAAATCTGCAATCGATTTCTCTACAAGCTACACTTCTTATGCAATTCAATAATATATTCTTAACCAGGATAGTATATATATGTACATATATTTATACGTTCTTCATAAACTTTTACATTCAGACAAAATATAAACTGAACCAAAATACAATTTTTTTTTTAAAAAATCTGTAGCTTTCTGAACAAAACTAATTTCGAATTCCCACACCCGAGTTAACTAAGATCAATTACAAAAATTTTTTGTCCAGTGTGATTGTTGAACAAATTGCCAATTTCATTTTTCGAAAATCTTAATAAATCGTCATTTATTAATTGATTTAACACATAGGTCTCTCTTCACTTTTTTTAATCATCTAAAGGAGAAAACAAATACCTCAAGAAACATTTTTTTAAAAACATCTTGCGTAAACAAAAGTAAAACATAGTTAATTTGCAAACATCTGTTAAGTTTAATGAAAATTTTAAAATAATTGTACTTGGGGAACTCCTTTTCTCCTTGAAGACTTCAGAGGATCAAAAAAAAAATTCTGNTAATTAAAAAATATTTTAAAACCTGCTGATTACCTATAGTATAATTAAATTTCAATATAATGCATGGCAACTGTTGGTAGTTTTGAAGTTTATATATTTTTTTTGGCAAGCTTGGGTTTTTGACGGTTTAAACCAGTATTATACCCTTGTCATGTCAAAAACCACTTTTTGACGTCAAAAACCCAACCCTGATACAAGTGTATAAGTTTTTTTTTAATGTTATACCAAATATCTTTATTATCCAGTATGTTAATTTGAATTTAAAAGTAGTTATATTTATGACTAATGATAAATATAATTCATATTGTTTATTCTATTTATTTATAATTATTACACTTATCATTTTAAAATTTTTTTATCTCCACTTGTATTAAGAATACAAATAATGTATATCTTGAAAGCAAGAAGCAATTATTCAACAGCTGAATATTTAGATATTCAACAAAACCATATAGTATTCAGCAAAATGAAATTCACAAGTATTTGGATAAACTAAATTTTCAGCATAGTGTTCACACATCACCAATATACTGTAAATCGACACTAACTACTCTGTGTATTTAACAAAAAGCTATTAAATTTGTATTGTCTTATGTTAACTATGAATTTAAAAAAATTGAAGATTAAAAATTCAGAATTACTGATTTTTCTGAAAAACTAACAACCAATCACAAAAGTCAAACTAAACAGAAGAACATTACAGTCACTGATCCATGAAATGTTGCATGACTGTGAATGTTGCATGTGCCCAACCTGTTTAAAAGATTTTTCTTTAAAAGATGTCTAATGTACAAAACAGCTAATGTTTATCTTTAAAAATGTCTTAATTTTTAGTACAATCTATACTATACACTAAATTTGGTCATAAATAAATTTCTTAATAATATCAATACAGATTTTCAATAACACATGAAAATGAATACATAATATTACAAAAGATGTGAGTTTTCAAAAGTACAAGATTTTGGTTACTATTCAAAATATAAGTGTTTCTTCAAAATTTTAAATTTNTACTCAGAATTTTGAATAGTAATAGGCATTTAATTCATCAAAGATAGTTAAAATATTTTTTTAATTAAATTAAAAAGAGAGTTCTGAATAAAAATAACCTGAACATTTTTGAACAAAAAAAAAGTGTTGAACTATTTTTTATAAATGAGGTTTGCATCATTATGAATTATTAATACTTATTTAAATATTCAAGCAATAATCTGCACAAAAATTCTATTTCACTAAGGATTTTTTTTAAGGAAATTTCCTCAATATTAGGGAATTTTCTAAAATGTACAAAAACCAGAAGAAATTTTAATGAAACCAGTAAACCAGGAGAAACTGGCCGAATCCAGTAGTCTACTGGAAAATCCAGTAGAGTTGGCAGTTATGTATAAGTGTTTCTTCAAAATTTTAAATTTATTTTTTCTAGAACATATTTAGAAACACTATCCTTTATAAAAAATATATAAATTTTATATATTAATTAAATTTCACATATGAATATAGGTTTTTGACATGACGGTTTAAACCGCCAAAAACCTGCCAACCCTGCTCAAAACCTTTATTACCATCAGTATTCATTGATAACTCTTTGATTAGCATTTAGTGAAACTACACATTTACAGAACACAAAAAAATATACTGAATTAAGTACCTGTTTAGTCACCAATAAAAACCTAAAAAAAATTTGCATTGTGATTTATGTGATTAAACTAAACATTTATGTGTGCTAAAAAAAAACAATTGATATTGTGATTTATGTGATTTTATTTAGATATAGCATATGATACAATGTAGACCTTGCAAAGAAATTTACAACTTTAGCTTAGTTCTTCTCCAGTGGCGACGCTTGGCATTGTACCTAAAGAAAGGGAGGGGAAAAAATCAAATAATTAGCAAGCTTTTTAATATAAAAAATTTATACATACTATATGTAAGATTTCAATAAATTTTAAACATTTACACACCTGAAAAAATTATGCCATACAAGTGGAATTTTTAAAAATAGAGAACAGAGTTGTCTTACATGTATAACACTATCAGTAATTTAAAATATTAAATATTTATAAACAAACATTTAAATTCATGAAAGTTTTTAAAATTTGAAGGTTTNTGAAAAAATTATGCCATACAAGTGGAATTTTTAAAAATAGAGAACAGAGTTGTCTTACATGTATAACACTATCAGTAATTTAAAATATTAAATATTTATAATTCATGAAAAGTTTTTAAAATTTGAAGGTTTTGTGAAATCAAAAAATTTAGTATATATATATATATATATATCAGTGTCATTGAATTGTGGATTCAAATGGTGCATAAGCATTATTCTGCATCCCTAACCACACCTAGTTGCATTTAAAGGATTGCATATGTATGTAACTATATGACAATTAAATTTAACAAGTCCAAAATACAAAAATTAAGGATAAAATTGCATCTAAAATTAAGGACAATTTAAGTCTGCTAATTCTCAATTCGCAGATATACAATTAGTAATTGTTTTAGTAGATCTTCATACCTGCCAACTTACACTCTTTCCGAGAATGGATTTTCAGAGTGGTTGTAAAACAATAAACGAAAAACAATCGGACTCAAAAATATATTTATACTTTGATCCCGTTGAAGTTCGCTTGCGCAAGGATTATTATGCTTTAATATATTAATTGTAATTATTTATATGTAGTGGTGGTCAAACTCATTTATAATTATCATTATAATTCAAAAAGTTAATTGGAATAACCAGAGTATTGCTACCACTTTAAAACTGAAAATAAAATCTTCCGGAAAATCCGGAAGAGTTGGCAGGTACGGATCTTGCACTGAATGAAAAAATTAAGTATATATATATATAAAAAATAGAGTTAGGAGCTTTTTATATATTTCTCACAAATCAAATTATTTCATGCCATCAAATCAAGGATATTTGTCCTTAATACTGGAAGTGGATAAATACCGTACTTTACCCGGCATTATATAACATAATTCATATAATATAATTTTAATATTATTATATCATAATTTAATATTATTATATTAATATTATTATATCATATAATATAATTTTTGAATTTGAAATTTCTTCAATACTTTTCCAGATAAATAACTATCATTCCTAATACCTTTAAAAATAACTTTGAGCCCTGTCAAAGTTAAGGTTTTAACATATCAGTCACTAGCTATGATTCAAACACGTGAAAAGCAAAGCATTTCAAATAGTTGTTCAAAGAACTTGGTTATAGGATGTATAACAAATGCGTAGAATTTACATATTAAAAGAGAACTTCTATTTGCCCGAGTTGTAAAATAAACAGATTTCTAACCAAGGTGACCCACTTAGAAAAGACTCCAGACACATTTTGTAGAAATTAACATGATTTTTGGGGCTTTAACAGTGGCTGCCGAATCTGAATCACTAAAACTAGCCACAGAGGACTATATAAATACACAACCAGCAATCGACGCAAAGAAATATTAGGTATGTTGTTTAGGTTTTTTGATTTCAGCCATATGTTTCACTCAATGTGCAGCTTTGTCACAAAATAGATTTCAACATACTAATTGTGAACAATCACAACAAACAGAACTAATCTAATTTAATGAAAACAAACAGATCCCAATCACTTTGAAAAATAACAGTTTTTAATTCTAAATTTTAACATTCAAACAGAATTTATAATCTGCTCTAAATGTCTAAAAGAAATACAAATTTGCACATTAACACTGGATGCTAAATAAATAAACAAATAATGGAAATCTGGAGATGCCAGCAAGAACCTAATTGGCAGTTTTTAATAAATAAATTGCATTACTAAGGTTCTTACTTGCATCTATAAATTCATGTCAAGTGTGAATGGCCCCAGTTTTGTAGCTTGGCAGCTCAATAGAACATGATTGATATTCATCTGTTCCAAGGTTTAAAGAAAATAAACCCATGAACACAGGAATAGAATATTTGAAATATATCTAACCTATTTCTACCAGTAGCAAAAATGATCAACACCACTGAAACTCAAATTATAAAAAAAATACTAACATTCACAGCAAGTTTGGTCATTTAAGTTATACTGCACCTTATCCTTTAAAATAATGTACAAGAAAATTTATAATCTGTCCAACAAGTCTCTTTTCAGAAATTAATGATTATTATCATTACTGATTATTTTTATTATTACCAATGTCATGAAAGTTTTTCTTGCAGCATAGCATCATTAAAAAAAACACACACACGCAAATGATAATTATATAGTGATAGCACACAGGTTAAAAATACCAAACAATAATTAAAGAGCTACACTGTAGAATCTAATTTTACAACCGAAACTAACACACATTTGAGATGTATAGCCTAAAATAGAGAATCAACTGCATTGTGGCTGGTAACAATGATAATATATTTATGACTAAGTAGTTATTGTTTGTGTGTGATTCACTATAGATAATTTAAGTTCATCTAGATTTTTACTTTCATTAAAAACACATAAAATGGTCACTAATCTGTCATATAAACCATAACCGAAAAGTTTAGATATTTATGCATAAGGTGATTCAAAGAGATATTGACCAATAGCCGTTGCTGTCATTTGAGATTTGTATAAAAATTCCTTGTTTTTTAACTTGTTGCTTAAAAATTACGAATAAAATTTTTTTGAACCAGACTACAATGTGGAGGCTATCTTGAAATTTAACTCTAAGAAAATGACATAACTAGTGCAGGCTCACGTTACAAACGTCTAACCGTATTATAAACGAATCAAAATACTTAAAACTATTAACTTTCTAAAAATAAACATATATTTAAAAGATTTATTGAAATAATATTGGGATGAAATTTTCTATTTGCTAATTTTAAGAATTTTTTAACAAGTAAAAAAATCTTTATTGCCTCAATTTATTTCCACATAAGTATTTCCATATTTTTCAAATATATAATAAATAAATAATAGTTAAGGCTGTTTTATTTGGGGTCAGTAAAATATTAAAGTGGTTCGTAGTCAAATATATATATAATTTTTTTTAACAGTACAAAAACTAAGTTACTTTAAATAATTTTTTTCACCCCCCTAATCTTAATTGGAGAGATTTATATTACGTTTGCAATTTGCAATAAACTCAAAAAAAATCTTGACATAGAACTAAAACTGAATTATTTTTTAAATGCATTAAAAATGTACAGGGTTCATGCTCTACTATAAAAATAAAATTCAAGTACTTTTCAAGGACTTTTTAAGACTTATTATAAAATTCTCAAGGACATAAATTTTAGTTAAAGATAGACTAAAATTTAACATTTTAAACTAAAATGTTTTGACGATAAATGTTAGTTGATAATAGCAGTACTAAAAAATAAGACTTCCATTGCTCTCTCTTGATTTCGGAAAGTAATCTAAGTATATATAAAAAAAACAAGGGTGATTGGCATCAAGTCGAGAATAAAATTCATGATGCATAAAAACGGCAGGTTTGAATTTTACATTAAGGTTTATTTTAAGCTAGGTATACAAAGTCTGAATAAGCAAAGATTCGGGCAGAAGACGGGGTAGGGGGGAATGTTCTATATAATACTGTGATATCAATTAGATATTTAAAAACAATTCTGCCGGGAGACTTTTATTTAATATTTAAAGTGGTAGAAGCATTTAGACAGTGAAATTTAAATTGTTCTTAAATATAATTTTGAAATTTCGACCACTTTTCTATTTAAGAAAATTAATCAATTATTGGATGTTGCGGCTTGATTATCATTTTAAATTTATTACCAGTCAACCATTTTAAATTGAAACAGTTGCCAACTTTCACCTCAATAACATGGTCACGTGAATATGAATTGCAACGAGTAGTTTTCAAATCGAGTATAAATACGAAAATCGATGTTTGATATCGCAAAATACGTGAATACGAATAGCGACATTGGATTTTAAACTCGCGGAAAAACTAATTGCGCTAAAAAAACGCTTAAGTACAAATCGCGATATTAGATTTTAAATTGCTTCAATGGGAGTTGGGAGTACGATTTTTCTATCACTCGAAAACGAATTGCAACACCAGGCATTAAAGTGGACAAAAATAAAAAAAGCTGAACTTTTACAATGCAGGTCACTAGGAAGAGGGGGGGGGAGTGCTCTATATGATGCTGAGATTTATAAAAGCAACTTTTAACTATGCTGGGAGATTTTTATTCAATATTTAAAGTGGCGGAAGCATTTAGACAGTTAACTTTAAATTTTTCTTAAATATAATCTTAAAATTTTGACCACTAATATATTTTAAAAAAATTAAGCAATTACAGGAAGGCGCGACTATTAAATTACTTATTAATGAAAAATATATCACATCTTTACAGTAACTAATTCAAGAGAAAGCTTACTTTTACTTCTTTCAAGAATCGCGATACTGGGTTTTAAAATCGTGTGAATATGAATCTTGATATTGGATTATAAAATCGCATGAATATGAATCGCGATTTTGGATTTCAAAATCGCGTGAATATGAATAGTGCTGTTGGATTTTAAAATCGCGTGAATATGAATCACGATTTTGGATTTTAAAATTGCGTGAATGTGAATCATGCTGTTGGATTTTAAAATCGCGTGAATATGAATCGCGATATTGGATTTTAAAAACGCGTGAATATGAATCACGATACTGGATTTTAAAATCGCGTGAATATGAATCACGATATTGGATTTTAAAATCGCGTGAATATGAATCGCGATTTTGTATTTTAAAATCGCGTGAATATGAATCGCGATATTAGATTTTAAAATCGCGTGAATATGAATCGCGATTTTGGATTTTAAAAACACGAAAATACAAATCACGATATTGGATTTTAAAATCGCGTGAATACAAATAACGATAATGGATTTTAAAATCGCGTGAATATGAATCGCGTTTTTGGATTTATAAAATCCCGTGATTACGAATCACGCTGTTGGATTTTAAAGACACGAAAATACAAATTGCGATATTTTATTTTATTTTATAACCGTCATTGAACAGCCGACCCAATTTCATGGGTTTACGACTACTTACGTTCAACTCCGTAGCCTTGTAATTTTGAACCAATCCAGAAGACAAGGAAACTCCTGGATCAGTACCCCCAGAGGTATTGATTTGTTGTGGTAACATGGAGGACTTTGAGACTCGACAGATTTAACGTGCATCAGTCACCATTTACTACACGGGGAGTCTTCGGCCGGCGAGGATCGAACCCACGACCTCTAGGATATGGGCCCAGCGCCCTAAAAATTCGCGTAAATAAGAATCACGATGCATAATTTTTAGATCACGTGAATACGAATCGCAGTGAGTAATTTTTAAATAGCGTACAAATACGAAAAACGACATCTGATATTACAACTGCGTGATAACGAATCGCAAAATTGGATTTAAAAATGCGTGAATACGAATCGAGACGTTGGATTTTAAACTCACGAGAATACAAATCGCGATATTGGGTTTTAAAAACGCTTAAATACAAATCGCGATATTGGATTTTGAAACTGAGTGAATAGGAATTGCTAGTACGATTTTTAAATCGCGTAAAAAAAGTTTTAAATAAGTTTTAACACGTAAGTTTTAAATGAGTTAAATACAAAAATCGATGATTGATAGTAAAATCGTTTGATTAAAAATCGCGATTTTAGCAAATTCCGGTGCAGTTCCTAATATTTAAAATTCCAAAAATCAGCCAAACAAACAAACAAAAAATCAAATATCGGCGCTCGTAACGAAACGCTTAGACTCCTTTCCACTCTATAGAAGTCGCGGTAATCCGACTATCGTTCGGGCGGCTTGGGTTTCTCCAATAAGACTTCCCAAAAATTTTCCTTTTTGGAACATGGTCAGAAATTTTCAAAATTGGGGGGAAAAAGCGGATTTCCGCTTTTTCGTGGAAGTCTTTCATCCCTGCAACACATAATTTTTAAATAAGTCTAATACGAAGATCGATATTAAAATCACCTGAATAAGAATCGAGATTTTGTCAGAATCTGGCGCAGTTCCCAATATTTAAAATTCCTAAAATCAGCCAAACATACATAAAATCCTAAAATCAAACAGTACGTGTCATCATCTGAAAGACGGGGAAGTCATTCTCTCACACTTCCGTGCGTCAAAAAGTTAAACATAGAAATACTGGAAATAGGGCTGTTTTCCTAAGTTTTTGATACTTTTCAAGGTCATTTCGAAATTTTCAAGGATTTAATATCATTTTTCAAAATGAAATTCAAGTACTTTTCAAGGCTTTTTCAAGGCCGCGGGAACCCTGATGTATGCCTATTAACAATGTTTTTGTGCCATAAATCGTAAATCATTTCATGGCTAAAAACCTATAAATTAAATATAAATAACAGATTTTTATTGTTGAGAAATATGAAATTTAACATATTTTCTGTGTATAATGACACCAAAAATAAGAAAGTTATCTTATTTCTTATGAATTACTATGCATGGTTAAGTCATTTTCCTAAAGAGTTAAACTTCAAAACTGTCCACAATTCATAATTTTGGTCATTCATAATTTTTTTTTTTTAATTTTTCAAGAATTTCAGCGACATTATGGCAAAATGGTATTTAATATTTTGGGTAATTTCAGGAATGAACAAAAATATGGTACACATCAATACATAAAACAATATTACAATAACGTACCTGATAGTGTTGCCAGTCTTCATTCGAATCCATTGTGGAATTGGTCTGTTCTGCTTCATCTTTTTTGCCAACTTCTGCTTTATTTTAAATGTCTTGTGGGCAGCCTATTAAAATTTTTTAAACCTTTTAACTAACATTGTAATATACAGACATTAAATTTATTGCAATAATAAATAAACAGAAAAAGATAAACAAATATTAACCATCAACATTAAAGGCTTTCAACAGTAGGCTTTCAATCCAAGCCTACTGTTTGTCTAAGAACATGATAAATATATTCATGATCAAACAAAAATCCTATACTGTTTGTCTAAGATAGGTACTCTGCCAGACATTCCCCTGGAACTGTGGCAGTGACTATGGTAACAAGGCATGATAATTTCAAGCAGGGGCACGGGATTCCTCTTTAGGACTGGTTTCAGCGAGGGAAGAGACCTCTATCATCAAAGCTACCCTCCCTAAAATGCCCTCTTCTTGTTTCCATAGCACCAAACTGCCACAGACTTAGTGGCGGTCAGAGTACCTATCTTAGACAAACAGTAGGCTTGGATTGAAAGATGTAATAAACATGGCATGAATTTAAGAAACCCTCCAGGCAACAGTGCCCAGGTGTCTAAGTTTTTCTGAGAGGCACCTATTTTCTGAAAATTTAGACATATTTTGTGAAAATAAAAAATCCTTGCGAATAAAAAAGGGCACAGAGTTTTGACAGGGTTCAGGTCAAATTAAGTTTTTCTTCAAATTTATTTTCATATCCCATAAGAAACTATCAATTCATATTTTTACCAAATTTTTTTGTTGATTTTTAATTTAATCTTTAATCTTCAAAAATTATGTCTTATTTTTCACAAACAGGTATCTCAGATAAACCTAGACAGATCCCTGCTAAACATCGTAAATGTTTATCAAAAGTGTAATATTATCTAAAAACTGAATTCAACACAACAATTTTGAAAACAGGGTTTCTGCTACATTTTTGATTTTCAAATTCATGACTAATTCCTAGAATTTTTCACGACTTAACAAACTTACTATTTTCGACAAAAACACAACAAGAAATTTAAAAAAAGCATTATAATAACATAAATTGAAATGATAGGTGCAACCAAAACTGTTCTCATTTCAGAATTTAAAAAAAAATTCGCCAATGACCGGCTAGCTGCAGCTAGAATTTTAAATTTATAAAATAAAAAAATTTTTAAAAAATATCAAAAATTCTGAAATCACAGAAATTTATAAGATAATTTGCTCTAGAAATGATGCTTTTTCTTTCATGTTTTAAAAGAACACCATAACTTTCAAAGAACATAATAAAAATATTTTATATTTTAATAAAATATGATGGCGAGGATTTTATTACAAATTCAGATATTCGGAACACCACGAAATGGGGGGGGGGGTATTTTTAAATTCCATTTTTTAAAATTAGATTTTTCAGCAACCTAATTCCATGATTTTCTTCAAAAAAATAGTTAAAATCACGACAAATTTTATTCAACACCGAAATTCATGTCTTTCCAGGTGTGCGGATATCCTGTTTAAATAATCCTCTATTTAAGAGCAATGAACAATGTTTTTCTCGTCCTAAGTATCAGATGGCCCAGCAGTGGTAGCTATAGCAACACGTGCAATGATTATGCATGCATACTGCTCTTGAACACTCAAACTATCTTAAAAGTATATCTCAACTGGTGATTCTCTTTCATTATCAAAAGAGAAAAACTTGTAGTTTAAAATTAATAAAAACATTTTAAACACATTTTTTTTTTTTAAAAAAAAAAGGTATTTATTTATGAAAATTTCTTCAAAATCACTTGAAAATAACTTTTAATATCCCCTCTCAAAAAAGGGGTCAAAAACGTTTAGGGAGATCACTGGTGCCGAACTTTCTACACAATGTAAGTTCATGAACATTTTACATATCTGGATAGCAACAATTCTTAATTGTGTACATTTCTGAAAATACAATAGAAGGTGCTACAGTTGTAGGTACACAATATAATATTATATGGGTTTTATAATAGAACAGTGCACTACTATTTGAAATTGCACTAATACATGAAAAATTGAATTAAAGTTTAGATGACACTATTACACCAACACTAAAAAAAGATTAACACCAAGGCAAGAAACAGAATACAAATTTAAGACAATTATGGAGATCTCAGCACTTATTTGCAATAAAAATTGGCCACCAAGACCAGTTGTTTCATAAAACATTCTAGAATTACTGGCAAATAATTTAACTTTTAAATAAGTTGGTAAAATCATACTTTTGCCTCAATAGATTCTTCCACATTAGTAATAGTTCCTATAACAGTAATACACGTCTGACTTCCAGTTGGGTAAAGTGAAAAAAGGGAGAAATTCTTCATAGAAGAACACTTCAGAATGCAATTGCTAATCAATTCCCCCCCCCCTCAGTTGTTGGGCATCAGGTTATTTCCTTAATTCCATAAAAGCAGGTTATTACATTAACACAGGTTATTATGATCATATTAAGTCAATTACTATATAGGATTACTTTATTACCAATTTTAGACCAGTATAATATCAAAATTAGACACATTTTGTAAAAACACGCTACAATCTAATGGCAATATTATCATTAATTAGCTAAAACATTGTTTTTTAGTACTAAATAACAAAATTCACTTCATAACAACTTTAAATGGCCTTTGAAAATCTTTAAATTCAATTTAATATATGTAGACTTATTGTTATTTAGCAATAAAATTATTAGCTNGTGAGTAAAAATAAACTGAACATTTTAGAACAAAAAAAGTTTTGGACTGATTTCTATAAATGAAGTTCACTTCATTATGTATTAGTAATACTTTTTAATTATTCAAGCAATAATCTGCACAAAAAATTAATTTCAAAAGGGATTTTTTAAGGAAACTTACTCAATTTTTGGAATTTTCTAAATTGTACAAAAACCAGGAGAATTTTAAATAAACCAGTAGAAACTGGCAAAATCCAGTAGTCTACTGGAAAATCCAGTAGAGTTGGCAGCTATGATAATATCAAAATTAGACACATTTTGTAAAAACACGCTTCAATCTAATGGCAATATTATCATAATTAGCTACAACATTGTTTTTTAGTACTAAATAACAAAATTCACTTCAAAACTTTAAATGGCCTTTGAAAATCTTTAAATTTAATTAAATATACGTAGACTTATTGTTATTTAGCAATAAAATTATTAGCTGTTCAAGTTTTTCTAAGCATACATGAAGTTTACTAAGACTCAATTATATGTCATCTTCAGCGTAAACATATTTAAATACAAGAATTAAAAACTAGCTTTAGACAACTAAATTAAATTTTATCTTAACATACGAAGCCTTTAACACTGTTTCACAGCATTTAACAAAATTTAATCAAGACATTATTTCATAGGTTAACACATAGTGGACATCCAGCTAGTAGGTACAATCACTAATCATCGAAAAATAGAAAAACTTTCGACTTAATTACAAAATGAAATTTAGAAAAGAAACTTACCATTCTTTAAACAAAGAATGTATTTCAATAAAACTTAAGTCTTATTATACTGAATTTTTCTTATAATAATACTTCAATTCTACGAAAAACAGAATCAGACAAGAAGAATCAATAAAATCAGTAAATTTGTAGAGTTGAGAAGTGTGCAGCAACTGGAAGCGCGACTTGCAAAAATATTATTTCTAGGGTTCGAAACTAATTTCGCTTACTTGACTAGGACAGAAATGAACAGTTTAAAGCTATCTCATACAAGCAAAATAAACACTGAAAGCTGTTGTATGAGAAAGGTTTGGGATCTTGTTAATATATATATAATAAATTATTTAAACAATGTGATGTTTTTATAACAAAATTTTTTTCAAATATGCCAAGATACAGTAGTGATTCTGATGCATCTTTAAGAAGCAGATCTAGACGGAAAAAAACCAAGAAAACTAGACATCGAAGGTTTGATAAACAGATTATTTTATAGCAAAAACATATTGTTTGTAAAAAAGAAAAATTACTTATGTGATTAGCAAACTTTTAATCTACAGGAATTTAATTACTGCTATTTTACCTAATAGACAATAATATTATTAAAAAATTCGATAACATTATATTGCTAGTTTAGAATTTATTACTTAATCGGTTACTTATTTTCCGTGTTTGCTAACTACATATTCTTGGTAAAGAATATAACACATACTTTGCTTTCTTTTCAGTAGCTCATCTCTATCTTCAACAAATTCCGACAAGTCTAAAAGTCTCCATAAGAGTCGAAATAGATCAAAAGATCGTCATTCTCGAAGATCCAGATCCAGCAGTTCTCGCTCTAGAAGCAAGAGAATTCGTAAAAGATCTTATTCGAATGATCGAAGGGATCGCAGAAGTAATTCTCACTCAAGAGATCGGAAATCCCTAAGTATATCACCATTAAGAAAACACAAAGTAAGAAGACGATCTACTTCGAAAGGTAGAAGATCAAGGTCTAGATCTCTTTCACATGGCCGTAAAAGTCGCTCTCTCTCTAGAGATTACAAATCTAGATCACGCTCAAGAGATAGAAAATCAAGGAGTAAATCTGATGATCGTAGTATTTCTCGTAAAGGCAGTCATAGAAAGCACCACCGGAGACATTCTTCTTCTAGACGTAAGCACCGAAAAAGGAAATCTAGATCCCATAGCCGAGATAAGCACACATATAGGTCTAGGTCTGATTCACAGGATTCCCATACCCGCAGTGCCAGGCACTCACGACGAAGTTCTCGTTCAAAATCTTCATCTCCTGGAAGGTAAAAATTATTATCTTAATTGTTAAGAAATTACTTTATTGTTTTACAGAACATTTTTTGAAAAAAAGGGGTTTATTTTGTGTTAACAGTCAGAATTATTAATCATTTAAATGTTGAGCCTCTGAGCGAAATCGTACTGAAATCTACCTGGTTTATTGGTGCTTTAAAGCTTAAAATTAATAATGGTCTGTTGGTACAGGACCAGTAAAAATTTAACTCAGACCATCATAAAGCAACCTTAATGTGATCTCTTTGACCAACATGCAATGTAAGAAATGGTATGCTGTTTTTTTGTTTTTTAATTTTCTGATTCATGTTTTAGTCTGAGTTATTATGACAAAATATCATGTTTCAGTATGATTGTAAACCTTTCCTATTCTTTGTATTGTAATTTCTCATTTTTGTTCACTTTGTTAACTGTTTTTTCTACATAAGATATGTATAAACAGATAAGTAAAAATGTACATAGACTAGTTATATCATTTAGTTACTAGTCTCATGTACCATTTTTTTATAATTAATTATAAAAAAAAAATTTAAATTTTTATGATTTCTACCCATGTTTTTAACTGTAGGAAAGCATGCAAGTTCAGAGAATCAGCTACTAAACTCAATAAAAGTAATTAAAAATAGCAAAATAAAAACTGCTTTCTAAATTTTAATCTTTCAATAATTAAAACATTAGTTAAAAATGGATTTCTAAGGTTGATACTTTACTATTTCAAAAGATTTCTGTAATAATTTTTTATCTATTTTCTCAATATGGCAAGAATGCATCAATATTTATTTTATTTCAACCTTTGCAATCTGGCTTTTATGTGTAATTAAAAATAAAAAAGAACACATTCATGCATGCAATCAAATGCATATTTTTAATGGTATCTTGATTCGTAATTGTGATGCAATCTTTGAACCATTTTAAAAAAATTTCAAAGATAAATATTCAGTCATTATTAATGGATCCAAAAAACAATTTCAAAATTAAACTACTTTTAAAATTTATAAGTTAATGATGTGATTAAACTATGTTAATTAAGCTAATATGAGTTTTGTATAATGTTATAAAATTATTTTTTTAGGTTAAAGTTATCAAAAGGAAATGAGATCAAAGCAAGTAAAGATGTAAGTAAATTAATACTTTTGATATATATTTAAAAGACATATTGTCAGTGTTAGAAATTTGTAATTAAAAAATGTGCAATTTAAAAATATTACAACTACTTTTTACTTTTTGGTACAACTCCCATCTTAAGCATTTTTAGCTTTATTTTTAATTAATTAAAAGTAAAGCATATTTTCTTTAACTAAATAGAGAATTATTATTATACCAATAATAACATAAATGCCAATCTTTCTTATTTTTAGAAATATGCCAAAATTTTGTTTATTATTATAATTTTTTTTAATAATTTTCTTTAAAGAGTTATTTGTTTAATAATATAATGCTATGTTAAACACAGTTTAATCATATAAATTACTCATATTAATATGAATGCTAACAATCATTAGAATAAAATATGTTATGATAAACTTTCTTATTTTATTTATCAAATATTTTTTTTACTAAGAATTTTTACATTTATCAAGAGAAAATTCTATTGAGAAGAAAAAAAAAACTTGATAAATATAGTGATAAAAATAAATACTTAGGAAATCACTTAAAATACATTAAATATAAAATTATGTTCATTAAATCTTGAAATTTTCATGAAGGACTAAAGAGATCATAAACAAAAAGGATAAATTTTTTTCCTAATCACCTTGTTATATTATGAACATTAAATTTTGAAATTTTTGCAAAGGACTAATAAAATCATAAATGAAAAGGAAATTTTTTTTTCTTCTCCAGATTACAATACGAATCAGTTTTTGATGGCATTAAATTTAAATTACAATAAAGAATTTAAGTTCAGGTTTAAAAGTAGTTTATTTTAATTGAAAGGTAATTCAACTTTTTAAAGGCTTAAAATATAGCTTTTAATTATATTTTAGGCTTTTAGATTAAATTTAACAAAAATGTTTGCATAGTTCTAATTTTGTTTTGCAATTCCTTATTTAAAAACCTCTCAAATATCTTTTTTCAATTGCTAGTTGTTATGTTATGCAATAGATCTGTTATTTTTCTTTCTAATCAGATATAATTAAACTATTAGAATAATATTTGTCAGAAACACTGTTGTTTTCCCTTTTTCATAGACTAATAAATTATTTTTAAAAAAACTAACAAGCTTATATTTTAATGGGGAAAATTTAGCTGTAAAAAGCTTTAAATTTTTATTTTAAATTACTATTCTGTAAATTTAAATATTCTATTAATAATAATTTAATTTGTTCTAGAACCATGAACTTCTCAAAGTCCAAGCTGTTCTTAAGGCTGCTGGTTTGTATTAAAATATATAAATCATATTCATAGTGTTGTGTTTATAAAAATAAAAAAAATTAAGAGATTTTTTTTTCTTTTCTGAACCTAAATAATTTAATGATTCCATACTTTTCTTCGGTACAGTGTTTTTCCCACTTCCTATGCCCAATGTTCATGTATTTTATTTTTAATTTGTTTATATTTCTCTCTATCCTCCATTTTAGAAAGGTATTTGAGATGAACTATCCTGGCTATTTACTCTTTTGGAATATTTGTTCAGAATCATTCTAACAAGTTCTTCCAAAAGGAAGTAACAAATGATTATATTTTATAAGAAAAAAAATTCCATATTAACATACTATCCCTTTGAGGTTAGTTTAAAATTATTGATGTTGTTTTTAAACATTATTTAAATCTTGATGTACAGACTCACTAATTTTGTTCACTGCAAAGATTTAGAAAAATGTTTAATGTCTTTTTTTCCCTATATTAATTTATCTTATATTTTAAAAGCTGAACTGTTATGTTTCAACTGCACATAAAATATTGAGCAAAATATTGCTCCTCTTAAAATGTAAATTTTTTTATTTTTTGGAATTTTATAAAAAGTGCCAATAAAAATCTTCTTGACAGCTAAATTTATCTCTAAATGCATAAAATTGAAATTTTCACAATGTACTAATAAAATCATTTAGGAAGAGGAGAACTTTTTTTCCATAAGCTTTTAGTTTGCTTTAAGTTTAATACAATAAATATTTATGTCATTAAACTTTAAACCCAGGATAAAAAAAACTTAAGTTCAGGTTTAAAATTTAAAAAAAAATTTTTAAACATAACTTAGGTTCTTCCTAGGTCTAAAACCCAATTTTAATTTAATTAACTAAGTGACTCCTAAAATTTATGCTTTTAAGATAATCACAAATGATCTTAAATGTTGGAAGAATATTCAGGAATGAAAGAAAGAAAATTCTTTGAAATGAAAAACTAACTTTGAATAATAGACCATCCTTTCTTACAGTTTCTCTAATTATAAATTCTTGATTGATGAAAATATCTATCTCTAAATTTTTAATATGTAATCTTAATTTTTTTTTATTATCATTCTTTTAGCCAATGCCACTGCTTCACTTCGAGAAAAAGGACTTTTGCCAGAAAGCTCTAGTAAAGAATCCAAGTCTGTGTCTGAAAATTTAGAACTTAGTATTGATGAGCAGCTTAGAAGAGCCAAAGCTATAGATGATATAAATGCGTCATCTTTTGTACAGCAAGACTTTAAATCTTCAAGATCATGGGGCAAAAAAAAGTTGGAGGTGAGACGGATATCCAAAAAAATATGTGCATGTTTTTTAATGATTATTTCTTTTAACTCAGAAAAAAAAAACTTGTATGCCATTTCCTACTATATAATGTGAGAAGAATCAATTTTTCTCATGGTCTATTGGCTTTTCTGTCTACAACTAACAGTTTGAAGAAAACTGTGACTAACATTTTTTTCTTGATGCCATTAAATTATCATGGAATATATTTTATTTTATAACACATTGAACAGCTGACTTAATTTTGAGTTTATGTCTTTTAATGTACAAATCTCAAATGTCTTACAATTTTGAACTCAATCCAATAGACCAGGCAACTCCTTGATCAAGCTTTGGGACAAACTAGTCTTTGCAGAAGACTTTTTGATGGAGCTAACACGTAATTACTTTACATAAAGAGAAAAAATTTACACTGTTTGCCTGATGGCCGGGAAGTTCTAATCCATGATCACTCTATCAGTGAGGATATTTTATGTCAGCATTGTGGTCGGGGAGAGCAGAATTTGCATCGGCCAGCCATTGCTGAGATTCAAACCACATCATTGGGAGACGAGCACCTTTATCCTCTTAGCCACCATTGCTCTCTTTAGACTTAGAAAAAATGAAGAGCTTTATTGTGAACACAAAATCTAAATTAAAAAACTTTTGGCATGCCTTAAGCCTTAATTAAATCTTGTTACTAGTTTCAACCCTATTGTCGTCACCTCATTTTGGCAAAATTTGTTTGAAATTTACTGAGTTTTTTAATAATGTTTAATTTTTACTGAACTTTATATTGATTTACGCCACAGAGATTAGTTTGGCATAAAGTGAAAAAAGCTGCAACTAGAAATCCAAAAATGTTTTGAGCAAAAGTACTTTTTAAATAATTGAAAAAATACCTGAATTTTAAGCACAAAAAAGGTGTATGTAGGAAGCATTTATCCACATAATGTTATCAACGTTTTAATAAAAATATCAATGCGAGATTTTATTTGTTTAAATTATATAAATACGAATCTCCATATTTGATTTTAAAATCATGTGATTATGAATTTTTTGTATAATTTTTAAGTCACTTGACGACGAATCGTAAGAGTGGCTATTAAGTCGTGTGAATATGAAAGGCAATATTTTTTATGAAATCAAAATTATACAAAACATGATGCACGGATCTTTAATTGAGTAATTAGAAGTCGTGATGTGTGATTTTAAATCATGTAAATGTAATTTTAAATTGTATTTGCTTTGATAGGAAAAAGCATAACAGTGTTTTTCTTATTCCTCGGGAATTCAGAAAAAAAATTCTTTTTTGAAGAGGCAGATATTTTTTTAAGTAATAGCTCATACATTTTTGCGATGGTGATAAATTTTCGACGAACAGCATTTGTGTATATTATACAGGTCCGGATCTCATGGAACGTATTGCACCAAACAGCAGCTTTAATTCCAATTCTGTTATCTTAGGTTGAAAATCTACAAATTGTTATTTATAATACGCTTCTAACTTACCAGCCTCCATATAATCTGGACTTGTAAAGCTGAGAAATAATTGTACTAGCTGTTCGTAAAACTTAATACAGTAGGGAACCGATTATTCGTAACGATCGGGACCATCGCTATTCCGGATAACTGGTTTTTCCGGTTTTCTGAATCGCTACAAAAAGCCGTTTTTTTATTGTTAAAAACATAGAAATAAAGTATTTGGAAATAATCTTAAAAAGAAGAAAAACGCTGAATTAATACACTAATGATTATTTCCAAAATGATGGTAAGGTAAACATCTTTCAAAAAAGAAAGAATAATCCTAAAAGCTTATGAGAAAAATTTTTTTTTTAAAATGGCGGGAAAATTTTTGGAATTTCGTCCCGGTTTTTTGGTTTTCTGATTTCCGGATAACGGGTTCTGTACTATACTAGGAAGGTAAATGAGGAATGATAAAGTAGTTCTCTATATATTTTAATTCTTCCTAGTTATAACTTTTTACTATTGATTGATTTGGTTAATGAACAATGATTAACCAAACATGAGTAATGATGAACATGAAGTAATGATTTGGTTAATTGATTGGTTTGGTTTGGTATTGACCATCTTGCATTTATCTTAAAAAATTTATAATGTGTTTTATTTATGAGGAAGGGAAGAAGAAGTGGAAATTTGTCTTATCTGGCTATTATATTGTTATCCGGCCAGCCAGGTGGCCGAGTGGTTAGCATGTCTGACTGCGGAGCCAATGGCCGTGAGTTCGAATCACGCTCTGGGCATGGATGTTTCTCTCTCTGTGTTGTCTTCTGTTGTGTGAATGTGGCCCACCCTATGAACGGGTTTGTGGCAGTGTGGCATGGGTAAAGTTGCTCGCCTCCGTGACTTTGGTTCACAGGTGCCCACTGGGTAACGCTAAATGAGTAACAATTCCGGCATCTTCTATGTCGAAGAACGAAAAGTTCAGTGCCTGCCGTTATTAAAAAAAAATTGTTATCCGTACTACTCTTATTCCGTATTAAACCACAGAGTCAGGAGCCTACTCTATTTGAAATTAGTATAGTAAAATTAGAAAATTTTCTTGTTAACCTTTAAAATATAAAAAATAAAGACTTTATAGTTTAAAATTCTAATAGTAGATAATTTTTGTAATTCAACAAGACATGAATTTAATATTTTTGTCAAAGACACAGATTTCCACAAAACATAGTAGAGAATTTTAAAACTTATAATTTTGCATTTAATTACTAGATAAATTCATAAATATTATCTTTGAAACAATCATTATTGGATCATATATAACAAAAGTTGTTTGTTTACCATAATAGAAATCACAAAACGAGTGTTAAAATGTATTACTTATACAACAAACAAGGATAAAAATGTATTTTTGACTAAGACAATGTTTTTAGAAGTGTAATTAAAAAATATACTGAATTTTTTGGTAAACCTAATATTATTCTTTATAAGCATAACTAACATTCCTTGCTGTAAATATTGACTTATTTAATTTAAAAAATAAAATTTTAAATATTTATTTAGATACCAGTTGAACTTTCTAAAAATGGAGTAGATTCTGAAAATTCAGAAAATTTGAGTAACATTAAAGCAGATGATAGTTGGAAAAATGATCCAGCGAAATTGGTTCATCCGAGTGTAAGTATTTCAAACTTTTATGAAATTCGTTTTATTTTCCTTAGGAAAAAAACTTCTTATTACAATTTAGTTTCAAATATATATTTATAAACTTATTTACATTTTAATATTTTGTAAATTTCTTTAATTAGAAAGATTTGTCTTGTTTCTTATTTCTTAGTTTATTGTAAGAAAGAATTTAAGTTTTTTTTTACATTTGTGCAATTTAATTTTTATTCATTAATATACCCTCTAACATTTGAGATTTCAGCAAATTAATTTTTCCGAAGGTATTGAAACAAATTAGAATTCAGAATCTTATAAAAGAAATATAATTTTTATGGAACTTAAATCAGCAGATTTTGAATGCCTGTTAATTAGTCCAACCTTTTTTATATCTATTTATATCATTTATATATTATGGTGGACAGAATTCATTTTGCTTTAATGTATTAAAATATTAGTATATCATCCTAGCTACCACTAGGAATGATTTTTTTCCCCTGAAACAACAGAAATATTTGAATTTTTAGTGGATATGCATTAATTACAAAACTATACTTTATATGCATTATTTATAAAAAATATTTAGCAAACCAGACTGTTACATGTTAAGAAAGCATAGCATGGGGAGACATGAACAATTTAAATTAAAAAATCTGATAAACCTAATCTGTTCAGTTGTTTGTCATGCTTGCTATTGCTTTTGTAAAAAACGTATTTATTATCAAGTATAAAAGTAAAGCTTTTTTTCTTATTTATTCAACTAATAAACAATTGAATATTCATCAAATTTATCACAAGATTAGTCTTTAAAACTTCCAATCACTAAAATGCTACTATTTCATAATTCATGTTGATACTATGTTCATAAATTGAATTTTATTGATATTATGTTCATAAATTAAGAACTATAAAAATTATAGAAAAAAATTTTTTTTATTACTGCACAGATGGGCGATTCTTTCGTTACGTGTGTTACTTTTACACGACATATTTCAACTTTAACACTTATTATAATAAACTTGTTAGATATTTTTTATGTTTTTCTTAATTTGTTGTTAAATCTATATGTATTGTAAGTTTTCAAAACGAAGATTGAAGGCGCAAATTAATTTGATGTTGAAAAAAAAAATTTCTGAAATNTTGGAAATTGATTAAAAATATTTTTTGAGTGCTTAAAAAGCAATGGTAATTATTTTTTGTTGAAAAATCTGGCTATGCACCCTGTGTTTCCTCTGTTTTAATGTTACTTGCAAATTATTTTTAAAAAAATTCCCAGGTATTATGACTCATTTTAATAACCTTTTTTCCTTTTAGTTGTTTGAAGATTTAGAAAAGAAGAAACAGTTGTGGAAAGAAAGACTTGCTTCATTAAGACATCTAATAAATACATAATGGTTTAATTTAACAACTGGTTGCTTGAATATATGATAAAATTTCTTTAAATAGTTGTAAAATGTTATACTGCATCGACTTGATTATTTTCACAAGCATATGTTTCTAATAAAAAATTATGAAAGCAATATTTCATTTTTCATCTTTAAATTAATATAGAATGTAGTTTCTACTACTTCATTATAACGTGATTAGAATGGGATGGGTTTATAAAATGTCATTTTACATTTAACTAAGATTTTATACATAAAATAAGATTTATTTTGTTTTTATAGGGAGAAATATAATTTTCTACTGCAAATAATTGAATAAAATAAGTTATTTTCCATTCAAATAATTAAATTTGCCATAGTTTATATAATTCATCAACTGTATCAGTCTATATTTATGACATGTTCATCACATATGCTAGAAATTATTCTAATAGCTTGCAGGTTAAATAAAAAATCTTGAGTGTATCTGAAATTTATTTATTTTTTATAAAAATTTCCATAACTGATTTTGTTAATTACATGTTTCCAATTTATTATTTTTTTTAAATATTTTGTGAATCAATTCTGTATAACTAAAATGCATTATTTAAGTAATTTTATGATTTAATATATAATCTAGAGCAGTAGTCGGCAACCTATGACCTATGGGTCACCTAGTGATATTGGACAAGGTTTTATCCAATATGCGTAATGTTTTTATTTTCTGTTTTCTAAAATTGTAATAATGTTATCAAAGAATCTAATCAAAAATAGAAGTGATGTGTCTTACCAGAAAAAATTTTTGTGCAATAATTGAAAAATGACCCACTTGAGGAAAAAAAAATGCTGATGACCACTGATCTAGAGTGTGCTTATAGCAGTAAATAAATGGGTGTTTTTTTTTGTATTGACAATGCTAAAATATTCTACTAAAAAAAAAAACATTTTAGAAAAATTATTTATTGACATAAGATTTTAACTCAGTTAAAATCATGGCAGTTGTATTCAATATATAAAAAATATAAACTAAATATAATTATATATTTTAGCAATTAATTAATATAATTATAATATCCATTACATTTGTACCTGTGTGTCCAGTTTTAATATGAAATTTTCCATTACACAGTTTCGAATAAAATGTGTAAGAATCATTATTATTCAATAAGCAGTTAAAATTTAAATTTTCTTTCTCAGCCAACTCTATCACATGTTTTGTAGCTAACGCACCTGCTGCATCAGTAGGGCCATCAATCCCATCTGTACCTGAACTAAGTAGCACAATATCATTTTTAAGTTTTTTTATACTCAATTCTATTGACGCTGCTAAAGCTAGTTCTTGATTTCGACCACCAATTCCAGTACCACATACTTCGACAGTTGTTTCACCTCCTAAGAGTATACAAAGTTTTCTTCTCTCGGATTTCAGTTTGGTATAAGAACTCAAAAAAATAGGCAGTGTTTTTTCTGGTAGATTTAATGTTTTGTATATTTCTATAGCTGATTCTATCTTACCTTCTAGCATTAAAGCAGTCATATGTATTAATTTTCTGCTAACCAATCGAGCCATTCCAGAAAATGCATCGGTAACTATTATAGGATGATAGTCAAGACTTTTTGATGCCAAGGCTGCAGCTTCCAATGCTACTCGATTGCTTCCTATTATAAAGTTGCTTACATGTGAAAAATGTATATCATCATCTGATTCTTCTTTAACATTTTCTAGAAGATTTAAAACGGCTTTTGGTATTTCATTTATTAATTTATACTTTTCTATGATATTTAAAGGAAGCGTCGGAGGATCTGTGTTTTTAACTGTTGGTCCACTTGCAATTAAATCTAGAGGGTCTCCAATTATATCAGATAATATAAGACTGACAACCTGTAAAAAAAAATATGGAAACTTTGTTAAAAATAGTTTTCTTAAATTTCTTTTAGTAATTTGATGATATTAAGATGCATTGAAATCTAATTGAAAATCACTGTGATTAGCAAATACACTTGTAAAAATAATGTTAACATCCATTAACATTTTTACATTTTATTTAACGCTTATAATCCTGTTTTTAAAGGTTTTCAAATAAGCATTAAGCTGTTGTTTTGATATTTCTATGTCAGTTTAGAAAGCATAACATGTCGTTGGAAGAAATGTAACACAAATATATGCTTATATTCCAACAAAAATGTTAACAGTTTAGATTATTTTTTTCAGATTTCTAAAATCGTTAATTTATCTTTTTAATTACTTTCTCCTTTACAAGATTTTTATACATATATTATTTACTTCACACTTAATTTACCTATCACAGAAATGATGTGTTTTAACAATTCAATTAGTCAAAAATTGTCTTTTTACTGTTAAAAATAGTGAAGAAATTCATTAAATTTACCAAATACTTGCAATTTAACAAATCAATTCATAATGGAATTAAATCTACTACTTTACTTATAATTTTGGCAGAAATACTTTTATTGTGCAAAAGTTTTTTTTTTTTTCAAACTTTAATAAGTTTCATAAAAGAAATATTAAAAATTGGATGCTACAAAATAAAAATCTCAAAAAATTTTACTGTAGTAACATATTAATTTGTTCCATAGATTTAAATCCTGAGATTATTTACATAATTTAAACCTAACACATTTACTTCATCATAGACTTCTTAATGGACTGATCGTTAAGACACGGTTCTCATCAGATCACCGAAGTCAAGCATCACTGGCTGCGGTCAGTGTGCGGGTGGGTGACCCACTTGGATCAGTCTGCGTAGGGACCGAGGGTGTGCGGTATTGGTCCTCGTTAAACTGTGCTACCGTAAAGTGCTCGACTTCGCGCGCAGGTCGTCGGGCTACCGAAGCGGGGGTGCCATCCCCTCCGCAGAGGATCAAAATTGTGATGGCATGTCTTCGGATCATCCTCCGGGATGCTTCCCAGACCGTCGCCAATAGCCCATTGTGCAGCTCTAGTGCGACGTAAATTAACAACAACAACAACAATCATCATACGAATAAATTAAAAAAAAAAACTTTTGTGCTCAGTCTTTCATTAGTAAAAATTAACAACAAATTAAAAAATCATTATCTTTTAAAATTCAAAATTTTTTTTGAACTTAATTTTTAATTCAATAATTTATTTCAAGAGGTTACCTATATATGAATACATTTTTTTTCTTATTTCTTTAACCAAAAATTACAATGTTATTAAATTTGTTCACCAAATTAATTTATTGTTACAAATTTCAAAAGCAAAAACGAAATTTCTAAAAATTTGGTAGTTTTAAAATTAACACATTTTAAAACTTCTTTTTATATGCAAATATTGAATTTTGATTTGGTTTCTGGATGATTTCAACATTCACTATTCCAATGAATTCCTGCATTTTAAAGTTTTATACATTAAAATCTAGCGTATTTTAAATGAAAAAAACTTTTTTAATTTTTTATATAGATACAAATTTATAGTTTCTTTGAATTTTCAATTTATGCAAAACATATTATTTTTATTTAAATTTTTTGTTGAAATTTTACTTGCACTTTTTACTTGCTACTTTTTCAAATCGAAACTTTTTACTAAGTATTTGTACTTTTACTCGTTACTTTTTAAAAGTAACGTTCCCATGTATGATCAGATCTATTTCTAAAACTTCTTCTAATTTCATCATTTTTAAATATTCCTCGATATTATTAAAGAACCAAACCTTAATTAACTGATTATCATGGATGAAATTCTCCTGTATAAACTTGATGAAAAGATAACTTCATATGACCTGTTAATTAGAAATGTTTACTTCTAGCTATTAGAATTTCAGGAGTTAGATATTAAAATTGTCGAATGATTCATGCACTGCTTTGTGGTTTTCTGATAAAAAGTTTCGGATTTTAAACGTGTAAAAAAAAAGAAGAAAAAAAATTAAGAATTTTGAAAAATTGTTTAAAACATACATTAATTAATGACAGTGTTGATTGTAAATATAAGATCATACACTGGCATGCACTTATGTGTGAGTTAGCTCTAAATAACCATGTTTCTTAATGTTCAACCTGTTTTCTTAAAAAATAGAGATATAATTATAAATTGTTTTACAGTCTTCAATATTAAAAAGAAGAAAAAAAAAAAGCTGTTTTATATTGCTGTTCTATCATGATTCAAATTTGAACTTTTTTCACAATATGTCAGAAAATTATTTTTGATAATATTTATGTTACCTTAAATATTTTTATTTTTTTTTGCTATAAAAATAAATCATTGAATCTCATCCTTAATTAATCTTTTACTAGATGACTAAATTATTACCTTTGCAGGTTTTGCTAGCTTTGCTAATCCACCACCTTTCAATTCTGAAAGTCTTTTACGCACTGTATTTAATTCGTTAATTGATGCACCTTTGGATGCTAGCAACTTTATAACTTTAATTTTCTCTTCTAAAGTTATAGGTTCTTTTGGCGAAGGTAATAAAGCTGAGCCTCCACCTAAAATTTAAAATTAACTTATTGCTAATGATTTTAAAAAGTGAAAAAGTAAAATTCCATTTTTAGCCATTAGTAATTTTTTTGTATATTTCAACTTACCAGAAATGAGTATAAACAGTAAATCTGTTTCTGTTAATGATGCCACAAGTTCAGAAATTTTTCTGGCTGCTAGATAAGATTTTTCATCAGGAATATTATTATACGCTCCTTTATAAACTTGTATGCTTGAATATCTTTGCTGGTTACCTTTTAAGAAAAAGTACATATTGATCAATGCTTATTGCATTAATTAATAGTTATAAAATTAGATTAAATAATTAGATTCGATAATTAGAAAGGTTATGTGTTAGAAACATTCCATTAAATTTTAATATAAATTTTAAAAAAAATTGTAGAAATTACAAGTTCATTATTTGATACAAAATATTTTTTTTAATATATTCCTCAATCACTACTATAAATAAAAACTACTCATTTCAATGTAACTTGCTCTGAAAGGTAATTCAGTGCTTTTTTTTTCTCTTCTTCTTTCTTGACAAATACAGTATAACATGACGTTATTGTACTAATTAATTTCAAAATCTGCTTACAATAACTTTCCTAATTAAATGTTTGTTTTCCAAATTAAATAGACAAGAAATGTATCTAATAAGCCAGTAAGTTTTAATGAAATTTAATTTTCCAATTAACCCCTGTCCCCGTTAGCATCATATAATTAAGGTTTTACTGTGTATCATATTTCCAGCAATATTTTTTTAACCAATTAGCTGTTGCCTTAGAGAAAAATTTAAAAAAAATATTTCTTCTCTTACCCATTTTTTTAAGGGATGCCGCAAACCAAGGAGGTTAGAAAAGCTTTGGGAATAAATAAGTTTAGTGCTTTGACATATCTAGGATTGTGAATGTGTGCTCCTTTTTATTTTAGAGTAGTGTTAAAATTTAACCTCATCAAGTTTGCTAGACACATATGTTTAGCTTACATAACATCAAGAATCTTTCATTTTAAACCCATTGGAATTCAGGGGCAGTAACAGACTATGGGGAGGGGTTGGCTGCATTTATGACGATTTCAATGCACTAAGAATAAACAACTAGAACACCCTAAAAAAAGCAGAATGTAAGAAAATTCTAAAGAAGTCTTTGGCCCACAAAGGGCTGTTGAGTCAATAAAGAGTTTCAAAATTAATAGTTATAGGTATACATTTCAGCCTATTGTTTTAATTACAGTAATAGTGTCATCAGTGTTTTTTAATAATATAATACATATAAATTTAATGTTGGATTAAAGAATAATAAAAATTGCTTTAATCATACACACTTGAACTTTTAGAGCCATCTGGAATAGACACTATTCCTGACACCAAATGTTCTTTCAATTTATTTTCTAGTGCATCTGCCATTCCCAAAACGGCTTTGCCAAAACCTACAATATAAATGTTTCTCCGAAGATCAAATTTTTGTCCTTGAATTTGAACAAAATTTGAGTCAACTTCAACGGATTGGTTAATTAAAGTTTCAGGTTGCACAGAACTCACTGCTGCCTGGAACATTCCTTTTGCGTCATTGCATAGTTTCTCCATTGTAAAAGCACTGCTATAATGGAAATGACCTACCTTCAAACTTTTTCTTAAATACGATAAGAGCTTAGTTCTTGAAAAATCTGGAAGAATAAAATGAATTTAGGTCTTTAAATATATACATATATATGTATATATAGAGAGAGAGACAAAAATATTAGCATATGTATACTAAATGATTTTTTACGTCATACAAAAACAGGATGAAAAGGAACTCGTGAAACAATTATTCTAAGAGACACGAAAAAAGGTTATGTTTGTTTCAGTGCTTTGATGTTTTCATAAAAACGTTGCAATAGGCCATTTACTCATGACTAAGCAAAATAAGGCATTAAAAAAAAAAGACTTTTCCCCCAATCCTTCTAACTCAAATTGATGTAATTATTTACTATAATGTACCCAATGAAGAAAATATTTAAATTTTAAAAGAATTCTGGCTGCATCTTCATAAATTATTATATTTAGTAAAAATTAATTACACTTTAATTAAAGTTACAATTTTATAATTGATCTTTAGAGTTTAATTTTTTGTCTTTTTAAAGCTGGGCAAATGTTTTTAGTACAACTTTTAATCAAAATAATAATATAAATATATTTAATTGTATTTTAGTTCTGCAATATAAGATAACTTTATACTATGTTCTGCGAGAACTGATAACGAAAGTAAATAAACCCACCTTACCAGGGGTCTGTCCAGGCCGAATTTACTACCGTTTAGCTGTACCTTCACAAATTCAATTTTAGGAAAAACGGTAGTTTCACAAATTCAACTTTAGGAAAACGGCAGTTTCACAAAATAGTTTTTCATAAAATTTTATTTTTGCATCCTTTAAGAAACGATAAATCAATATTTTTACCATGTTTTTGTGTTGATTTTTTAATATAATTTTTAATTTTTCACAAATTATGTCTAAATTTTCACAAAATAGGTAACTCTCAGAAAAACCTAGACTGACCCCTGCTTACACTCAGCATCACCTTTGGTTGTTTAGCCCCAAGGTTATTACAGGCAATGCTTGTTTGTCTAGTGGTCAATATGTAAAGAATTGCTGGATTAGTAAGGAACAGGCAGAAGGTGGTAAAGTTTGTGATAAAAAGCAAACCTTCATGTTTATTTCTGCTTTTAATTCTCACTGAACTGAGCATAGATTTTTAGTTGTATTTTCAACTGTATCTTGCAATTTCTGTCATAGAAATTTTCCTTTCAACTTTCATAAGATTTCTAATAATACACTTAGCAAGCAAAAACTTTTTTCTAATAGTTATATTTCATGGTGATTCATTTTAACACGCATTAATTTGACCAGTTCTCATGTTTAAAAAAAAAATAAGATTCAGCACATTCATATCATTTTAATTTTATCATAAACTACTGCTTTATGGCATCCCCAATACACTATTGTATGACATATGATTTCGGACAATACTAAAAATAGTTACCATTATTTTTAAGAATACACAAATGATTAATGAATAAGTAAAAATAAAAATAGAAGAATGGGGGATATTTCTGTATCATGATCTGTCCCGCCAACTACAATCACCAAGGTGCTAAATAGATTTTAAAAAAAAAAAAACATGTAGATATTTTCCTGCAGGTGGCTGTGAGTTATACCTTTCAAGTTGGTACATTTCTGTGGCGCTGTTTTTAGTTTCTCGCTGGCCACTGCCCGGAAGTTTCCAAGACATGGTAATCATTCTGCCACAGATCACGATGCAGAAATCTCCCCGAAGAATGAAAAAACATTAAACTGAGAATGCTCATTAATAGGCGCAGAAATAATGATTTCATGTCTCAGCACTGATAGCGGTATTTATAGTACAGACATTGATGATTTGAATTCAGAAATTATCGCCTGTTTTTGTTAACTACATTACATGCCCTTTTATTTGTTGTGGTTCAAGTTCATATTTAATACTACAAGTCAAATATGTTTCAGAAAATTTGAGTGTGTTTTTAAACATTTAATCAAAGCCATAGTTATTTAGATTAACTCCACGCAAAGAAAAGAAAACACCTATTTATATCAGGAGCAGGGTGTCTGTTAATGCTTTTGTATACTATAAATTATCGCAAAAATATTTTGGATATATATTGCGAAAGCAGATGTATTTATTTTGTAAAAATAAGCCATAAAAATATTCAAAATACAGATTTTTACCAGTAAAAAATAAACTATAAAAATCGCTGGAAATAATGAAAATAATTTTAAAAGTAATTTTGTTTTGTACTTTTATTTAGTTTCTGATAAAGATATTTATCGTGCTTGTTTTGAAACGATAAAAATGCTAAGTGTATTATTATTTTTTTTTTACGAGAGAAAACTTTTTGAGGCGATATGATTAAATTCTTAAAAATGAACGTATTAAATGTACTATCTCTTGTATTCTTAAAATTATTTAACCAGCAAAAATATTATAATTTTAGATTTCAATTAAATATGCAAACATACTTATCATTATCGATTACAAACAAAATATTAAATGCGTTTGCTGTTCATAATCGAAGCATGATCTGTGATAAAAACAAATTTACAACAAAAAGCACATTTGAGCTGTCTGCTTGTTTTGGTTGTGAGATGCAACGGTTACGAAAACGGTTCCTCTCCTCCAGAAAATGATGATTTGAAATTCAGAAGACAACCAATCAATGATTTTATTAAACCAATCACGTTGAAGTATATAAATGCTTGAAACGCTCAGAAAATACATCCTAAAATATTTTGAATTATGAATAATTTTTTACAACCATTTTAAATAGCTTTAGAAATTTAAAAAAAAATTCTTATTTTAGATTAGGTTTCATTTAAAGAATTTTGAGAATATTTTAAAGGGAGATTAAAAGCCTTCTTTTGCCGCAGACGCATTTATTTTAACTTTCTTTTTTTATCTAATTATTTAAAAAACAAAAGATACTTTTCAATTTGATATAATTTTAACTGGTGAAATGTGGAAGATTTTAAGCAAAAAATTTAAAAAAATAAAGAAATAAAAAAATGGAATATAAACAGTGAGGTTTCGCGCCATTATCGGCGAAGTTTGGAATCATAATCGTATTTCGTCCATTGAGTTTTATAAATTGGTCTCTGAAATTGTTTCAAATAAATATGAAATGGTTAATTCATAATAAACCTGCAGATTAATGAAAGATAAATCAAGAATAGGTTGAAATGCACATAATGAAGTTAATAGATCCCGTAGTGCGAAGTTTTAAAGTAGCTAAAGTATTTAGGGAAAACACAGATCGAATAAATAGCATAGACTTTTCACAGAATGGCGAAACTTTGATATCGAGTAGTGATGATGAATCAATAGTAATTTATGATTGCGAAAGAGGAACGTAAGTGAAATACATATTCATGGGAATTACGAAGTCTATTAAACTTAACAATAACTAAACAATCATGCTTCAAAAACAAACACTGTTCCCGGGTTTTCATTTTCAAAATGGCGCCGATGTAAACAATAAAAAGGGGTGTAACCTTGAAAACATGAATTCCTCGAATTCGCATGGAAATACAAATGGTTTAATTTCAATTCAAAACTAACTTTTATCATTATCAAGCGTTTCTTAAAATGAAATGTTTCCATAGTTAACGAGTTTCTTTATTTTAATATTTTTATTTATTAATTCGAAGATGAAAGAGCGATTTATATTCTCGAAAACTAAATTGATGAATTCTCTGAAGTCAATTTTTTTAAGCATACAATTACACTTCATTTCGTGAGATAGTACTTTGTAATTTACTGTATAATATATAGAATTTAATACGGGTTAGTTTTTTAATTTAAGTTTCTTGCATGATCCCCTCGAAAGATTCATTATCGGCAATAAGTTTCCAGATTAGTAAACATTTTTATTGTTCGCGCTAAAAAATAAAAAAATGGAGGAAAATAAATAAATTTGTTATTAAGGAATTTTTAAAGTTAAATGTTTGTAATAAAAACTAAGGATCTGTTATAAAGGAGTGATAATATATCATAACTGGTTATAATTATAAATGTTAAAGTATTGATACATAAAGGAAAATGGGTATATAATGGCTATTTTCGGTCAGGTCAATTGATTTCATATGTTTTTTTTTTTCTTCTTTCAGTTATTTATTGAGTTAATAAAAAAAACTGAAGAAATCTATTATAATTCTCATAATTAAGAGAGAAAGTCTGATGTTACTATTGAATTATTTTTGTAACCATGAAATATTATTCTCAATTAAGTTATGTTATAAGTAAAACTGAACTCTTAATAAATATCTATCTTATTGAACAATACATTTGGCTTATAATATCAATCATTGATGTGGTAAAAGTTGAAAATGTCTTGCCCAAATAAGAAAAATCTTAACATAAACAACTGTAAAATAAATGCAAATACCTAAAAATCACAAATCTTAGATCTGTTAATTTCATTTTTTTTTTTTGTATTAAAAAGCAAAAAAATTATAAAATTGATTAAATCTATAGAAGTATTATTATAAATCTGACTACTTTATGCCATTGCATTAGTTTTCATTTTATATACTTTTATTAATATTAAAAAAATTATGTATCAGTACTCCGCAAGTTGTCAAGTTTTTGTTGTTTCTGAACGGTGGCATGCAAGAAAGTGAAGGAAAAAAAATTACAGAAAGAACCAACTCAAAGGGTATAACTAAACTTAGCCACTTATAATGTATTTCTTACTTTGGGTGGCTGACTGGACTAAACTTTTACAAACTTGACCTGAACCCTTTTTGAGCTGTCATTATTGGCATTGATTCTTCACATGATATTCCTATTTCCACATTTTCCTATTATTTTATAATATACTGTTTATATTATCTGTGAAGTGTTATTCTGAGGTATATACTGTATTATCATGCAATATATTAATGACAATGTTTTATAATATTCCAGGCACAAAAGAACTTTGCACAGTAAAAAGTATGGTGTTGATTTAATCCGTTACACTCATGCTGCTAATACAGCGATTCATAGTTCAACTAAAGTAGATGGTAATGTCTTTGAATTTTAAAACATTAAATAACTTTGATTGTATTTATTTATTAAAATCTGTTTATTTTTATACTCATTTATTGTATTTGTATTGCAGATACTTTACGTTATCTCTCACTTCATGACAATAAATACATCAGATATTACCAAGGTCATACAAAAAAGTGAGATTTTTAATTTTTTTATCTTTTATTATTCATATTTCTATCTATTTATAACACAAAATGTGAGCTTGTTCTTTCTTTGACTAATAAATAATTTCATTCGAGCAAAGAAAAATATCTTAGTATTTCTATATTTGTATACTCATGAAACACTTAGCTGAAAATTTGGCTATTACCGGGATTTCATTTTGCTGCATTCCAAAATCAGGCATACTAACATACTATTGTATGGCTATAGACACTTTATTGTTTTATATTGTTCTTTCTTATATTTTGATTTATTAGTGCTAATTGTACAGATAAATTAATAAAAATCTTGATTGCAATTACATTCCTGTTTTTATCATTAGATTTTGATTTATAAGTTATTTTACTAATTGACTAATAAATTAATGTATAACACTATTCAATTTATTATTAAACAGAAGTACTAATTAATTGTAATATATCTATTAATTAATTTATCATTTAAATTCCTAAATTGTCATTTATACTTTTGGCAATGTTTTGTTATATATTCATGCTGCTTAAACATATAAATAACTCTAAATAAAAGTGTCTTTCAAAACATAAAAATTTATTTGTTAGTTAAAATAAATAGTTTTTGTTATATTATAAAAATATTTTTTTTTACTGACTTGTTGACAAAAATTAATAAAAAATGTTTTTAAAAGAGAAAATAAATGTAATTGAATATTGTGATTCCAATATGTGTATTTGCTTGATAATTTAATTGTTGAGTCTAAACTCAGTTTGACATAGTACCTATATGCTGCCTTGTTGCTCAATAATTTCTATGTATATTAATCAATTATTAAACATAGTAGAAATGATAAAAATATATAGTTTCTTTATCATGAATCTATTATTAATATCTATTATATTATTTATTATCCTTACTTCTAAACTGCTATTAGATAATATGAATAACTATTTCTGTAATCTTAGGCAGCAGTTCGAGTTTAAAATAGAAAAAAGATCAAACATACAATATTACCTAAAAAATCTGTAAATTTTAATATTCTGTAGAACAAATAGAGATATCTTCCTTAATAAATCGAGAAATACTGAAAATAGTGATATCTGACATAGCAGATATTATTTTATAAACAATTACTGTTGTAAACAATTGTTGAACTGTAGTTTGTTAACATTTTATTTGCAATAATTTCTTTAATGGTCTTTGATACATATCTTAACAATTTATTATTTTTTAGAGTTGTTTCATTAAGTATGTCACCAGTTGAAGATTTGTTCATGTCAAGTTCATTAGATTCAACCATAAGAGTCTGGGATTTAAGATCTCCAAATTGCCAAGTATAAAAAAATTTTCTCTACTAACAATATCTTGAATTAAGTTAGCAGAAACAATTTTAACGCAGTAATTCTTTCAATAACAACTTTGACTCGAGTAATTGTGTTATCAAGAAAGAGTTTAGTGGTTAAAGAATGAATCGGACTCTGGTCTGGAGGGGCCAGGGTTCGGTCCTTTTAACTCTGTTCAAAACCACTAAGGAGACTTAGATAAAATGAAAAACATTCTGCAAGCAATTTATCGACTGTTGTAGCTAATGTGAACCTTTTTATTGCCATCTAATTTTGACAAAATTAGTTTTAAAATCATTTTTAAAAAACTAAATCAATATATATACGCTGTGTACATATCAGCATGTGTTTCTTTAAAATTAGCAATTTTATGAAGATATAAAACTAGTCATTGATTTATTTTATTCTTGACTTTCTCTGTGATAGAAATGTTTGCTCAGAAACATTTCAATTAAACATTTAAATAAGTTTCTTTTTATGTAAGAATCACTTTTTTTTAAATAAGGTGTAAAATTCACTTTCTGTTTTGAAAATGACCTTTAATGTATGAGTATATTTATTTAGTTTTGTATGATCTGTGTTGTATGACATAAATTAATGTCATTACAAATAGAGAATTATTAGAGACTTGGTTTTCTTTTTAAAATTGATTTTAAGACCCTTGACTTTATTTTGATCTTAACAAACTAACTTTTAAGATTTGATTTATGAATTTGTTATATTTTTCATTCATGTTTACTATTTTCCAGTGTATATAATAAATACTTTATCTTTTAAACATAATGCCATTTGTAGCTTTAATTAAATTTTATATTCTATTGTTTGTTTAAATTTTTTTTAAAAATAACTTAATCAGTAAGAGTTTAATATGTAACTATGTTATGTTTTCTGGTGCATTATTTGTAACAGAAAGATTTAAATAAAGAAATGTATAAACATAAAATGTCCTTACTTGTGTGACTTAAGATCCTTTATTAATTAATTTTCAACTTAGGCTATTAGTATTTTATTCCAATGGTAAAAAGAGTCTGATTTGCATTTTTAAGACTGTCTTGTTAGTTGCTAATTTTTAACTTTTTTTTCAGGGTGTGATGCATTTAAATGGTCACAAATCTGTTGTAAATTTTGATCCAGAAGGATTAATTTTTGCAGTGGGACTTAATTCTGAATTGGTCAAGTTATATGATTTAAAATCATTTGATAAAGTGAGTATATAAAATAATATTAATAAGCCTCCTTTATTAACATTATTAGTCTTCTAACATTTGTAAGAAACTGCATTTATTTCTCAGGGACCATTCAACACATTCAAACTACCTCAAGATAAAGGTTGTGACTGGACAGGTTTAAAGTTCAGTCCTGATGGGAAAACAATTCTTATTTCTACCAATGGTCAAGTCATTCATTTAATAGATGCCTTTCAGGGAACGCCACTTCAGGCATTTACAGTATGTATTTCGCTTTCAATTCTTAAAAGGGATTATTTTTATTACTAAATTGTAAAATAGTGATATTGCCTAAATATATTTCAAAGAGGTTTATAAGTGAAAAGATCACTTTATTTAAATACTTTTCAATGTAATAATGTAATTTTAAATAGTGAAATTAGTTTTAAGACCTTTTGGTCTAAAACAGGAAATAAAAAATGTTAGGCAGAAGAAAATTAACCTGGAAAGGGAAACTTGAGAATGCTAAAGCCCAACTCTGATTGTCAAATCATTGAAGAAGAAATTAAGAATTTGAATTAATTAGACAAAATTATCATTTTTCTCATACTTAAAATACTACTAAGATCAAAATTTTTATAATGTAGGTTTCATTTTGGATTTATTAAGGTCCATTATGTTAGACAGTTTCATTTTTACCTATTGCATAGAAATCTTTTTGTTAAACAACTGATTGTAAAATTTATACAATATCAGGGCAAAATTTTCAGATTAAATCTGAGAAATTTTTCTTTTTTAATATCAAAACTTAATCTAAATAGAAATCTTCATTTTAAGGGGCTAAATAATATATAAGTCAAATCATGAAAATTTGAATCTGAAACTTCTCCTTTTCTATAAATCTAAAAATTTTTTTTTTTTTCATTTCTTCCCCTCAAAATTTTAGGTTATCTTTTGTGTACGGCCAAGAATACCATAAAAATTATTTAAAAACTTTAAATCTATTTATTCCAAAAGATAAAGCTTAGGGGAATTTTTCAAAATTGCATTTTGGCAATCATTCCTTGGTAATTATTGAGGTCAGGTGTTTTCATTTTACCTTTTTAACTAATGTTCTTATGTCCTGTTTTGCTACTTAATCTTTTCTACTCAAATTATTAGCTTCATGATTTATTAAATTAAATCTTTGTTTTTCTAAAGCTATTTTTCTAAGACAATATGAATTTGAGAGTACTACTACATTTCCTATCCCTTCATCTTCTAGTGCTTAATAAATTTATAATTTTTTTTTTGGTTGGTTTAAGATGTGTATTAAGAAATTAATATTTAATAAGAAATAATAGAAAATTTAATTGTTTAATTTGAAAAATTTCCAATTAAGTGATATCAGTATTTTGTTATTTACTTTATAAAGTTACATATCAAAATTTTCTTCTGCATAATTAATTATTATATTTGTCTAAATTATAATCCACCTACGAAATAGCATTTAAACTGAAATGTTATTGGTAGATTGTCTGTACAGAAAATAATGTTCTTGATTTATTTTATTTTATTTTTTATTTGTGTGCTTCCCCACTTTTCTTCATTTTTAAAATTATGTTCCTGTTTTTTTAAAATATTTATATTTGATGCATTTAATTTACTTTGAATGATGCACTTTTTTGAAACACCTGTTATATAAGCTGTAAGTAAAAGATTAAACAATTTCTTTTTGCAAATATTTTCATTTATTCATAAATTTGTTGAAGGTTGAGTAATAAAAAAAAAATATGTATGTGCATAAAAAGCATAGATTTCAGTGTTATTGCAGCAATTTTGTATTAAAAAAAGATTTATCTGCAATCAACTCTAAAATTTAGTCTTTTTTTTTTTTTTAAAGGGTCACATAAACAATAAAGGATTGCCATTAGAAGCATCATTCAGTCCAGATTCTCAATTTGTGTTTAGTGGTAAGTATTAAGCATGATTTAAATTTAAAATGCATTCTTTTCTGAAGGAGTTAAAATAAGTATTCCCTTGAAAAAAAGTATTTTTGTAATGAGCTCAATTTCTCAAAAACAAATACACCAATCCTAATGAAATGTAGCACATGTATAGGATGGAACTGCCTGACTTTGACAATGAAGAATTAAAAAAAAAACTTAACTAAACATTTAAATTGAAATTCGATTGTTTAGTTGAGCTTTATGCAAAAAGAAATATTAGTTTCTGTAAAATTGATTGTGCTCGAAGAAAATAAAAACCTTTCTGTCTAGAAGAAGTGTGGAAATTTCAATAAAATCAATACATCAGTTTTTTTTTTTTTTTTTTTTTTTNATTTTTTTTTTTTATTTTTTTTTTTTTTTTTTTTAGAAATTATGTTCATAGATTTTAAAAAGAGTTATAAGAAAGAAAGAAAAATTAGGCTTGCAGTCAATCTGGTTGAATGGGTAAAGGCTTCAAAATCTGTTAGTATTTTTATGTATTAAACATAGTTTCACCTTTTTAAATTATTTAATATACATATAATACAATCTTAGCTGACTTTATATATTTTAGTAAAATTTGTTACCTCCATACCGATATAAAAAGGATTTCATTTTAACTTTCCCTTATTATTTTTCTCAGTCTTTTTCATTACTGATCCGGTTTTTAATGATGCCAACACAAGTGCCATTTCTCTATCAAGAAAATGACACTGACTAAAATTAAAATTATTTTGCTAAAAATCATTCATCTTCGATAACATTTTGAAGTCAATAAAGGTAACCTCTAATAAGGACCAACCTCCATTAACAACCATTTTACTGTGGAGCAGAGAGTGGTTGCTCCAGAGAGGTTTCACTGTATCAACACTTTTATTTAATATTAAACTATTGGTAACATTGATAAAAAATTTTGTATTTAGGGTCTACAGATGGTCGTATTCATGTGTGGAGTGCTGAAACAGGCCTGAAAACTGCCGAATTAAACTGCGACCACACGGGGCCAGTGCAATGTGTTCAGTTCAACCCAAAATATATGCTACTTGCTTCAGCATGCACAAATATGGTAATATTTCTACAAAGTGTTATTAATCTGTAGAAATTGCTAATAAAAATTAAAATTGCTTATAAAAAAATTTTTTCTCATTATTTACAAAATTTGCTTTTATTTTTTAAACTAATAATTGCAGTTGTTACTTTGTTTAGAATCAAGTTGTAAATATGTTAGACCTAGGTACCATTTATTCTAAATGCTATTTTTAAAAAACTGTGTGTCGTCTACTTATTAATGGTTTCGTTAATGAAAGAAGATTTATTTAAAAAAAATAATCCATTTTTATATGACCTTCTATGCCCTAAAGCAGAGCTGAGAATTGTCAGAGATATCCTTTTCTTTTTGACCTATACACCTGGTTGTAGAATCAGTCTGCAACACAATTTTCATAATTCAAATTTGTCTGTGACCTTAACCTAATTAAAAAGAGACTATAACTATAAAAATTAGGTTTAATCTAACATGTGTACAGCAAAATCAACACACATAAGGTAGATAAAAATTGGGCTCAATAAATTTGTCCTTTTAATTAAAACATTTTTATACCTTTTATATGAATGGAATATTTGAAATTTTAAAAATGGAATAATTTCTAATACAGTCTATAAACAAGTAATTAGAATTTTCAAAAATTAAAAAATTTTTATTTTTTTAAATTTTCTTTTTCAAAATTTCAGTTGATTAAAACATTATTTAGAATTTTCAATCATCATCACTTTCTTTAGCTCATAATATCTGCAGATTAGCAAACAAATTTTATTAAGAACCTGAAACGGATAGTTATTAGATTAAAAATTATTTTACTGTTTCTCCTCTCAGTTATATTTTAGGCTTGTTTTTTAAATCTGAGATGACAAATAATTTGCAGATACTCTGCATCCATGCCTTGCTGTGCCCGCTGCCTTGTCGAAGGATTTCTGTTAACATACCTAATGATAATTGAAAAAGTTAAGTGGGATATAAATTAGTGAAATGTATCTGTAGAGTGAAAAGCTTCATTGTCAACAAATTTTGTGTCCTGGCATTTAGATAAAAAAAATTCTGATTCATTGGAATTATTAAAAAGATATCAATTTTTTAATATGATACAAATATTGTATAGTGCATAAAAAAAAATTAAAATTGACCAGCCTGATTAACTTTTGATCATATCTTCACACTCTTGTAGTCTATCTTAATAGTTCGAAGGGATAACCTCAAATATGCTAAATAATAAGTGCAAACAGTATTTTAAGATATGAAATCAGATTAAAAAACGAATGCAATTTGTACTTCCTAGTGAGCAAGTTATTATATATAGTTATACGAAAAACCATAAATAAATCACCAAACTATTAGGGACACCCCAGTGATGCTTAATTAATTGCAGGTATTGTGGTAGTAGATACCATATGCAGTACTGTGGTATTAGATATTTACGGCCCACATTAATGTAATAGTACCAAAGTATTTATAAAAAAGAAAGTTTCATAGGATTTATATGTTTCTTTCCTTTTCTAAGAATTTCATTTTAAAAAGAGAATCAGCAAACATACAAAGATAGACTAAAATACAAAGATATCTTATGAGTGAGCACGAACTGCGAAAGCAGTACCGAGGTTTGGAGAGTGTAGGGGATGGACCCCTTATAAATAAAAATAAAAAACACTGAAGATAAAGCTGAATAGAAAAAAGATTGAAGTTTTTTTCCCACTTGGGGAAAAATAATTGAAAACTAATATTAATACAGTCAGCAATCATAAACATGAACACTGAAATGTACAGTGCACAAAAACACCACCCTGAATAACTTATGATTTAATGATCAGATCTCCACATTCTAGGACTAATTCTTAATGGTTCGAAGGGGGTGATCTCAAGTATGCTAAATAATTAGTGCAGACGATATTTTAAGTTAACGAAATCAGACACAAAAGCGTACTTTCTCTGAATAAACGCATCTCTTTTTTTTTCCAAAGGATTCTGATTTCCCAAATTTAGGGGGTAGCCACAATCTGGGTAATACCATACGATACAAAGTTTAAACCCCTTAATGTTAATTTTACTTTTTGCACACAAATATAAAATTCGTTTGTCTAAAGATAATTCCATGCAAACTATAAATTGTAGTAGATATTTATTATTATTTTTTTTTATTTTATTTAATAGTCAAAAAATTCTTTATTGTAAGGCATACAATTTTTCACATCATTTTAAAGTATCTAATTTTAAATTATGAAATTTGAGTGAAATTGGTAAAATAGTTCCTGAAAAATTGAATTTTAAATTTACGACTTTTCTCAAGAACTATTCAACCAATTTTTCTCAAATTTTGTATTTTGCCATGTAAAATTAGATATTTAAAATAATATAAAATATTGTTTACCTTATAATTCAAAATTTTTCCTCTATTATTAAATAAAATAATTAATATTTTTTTTGCATGGAATTATCTTTAGACAAACAAATTTTATAGTTGTTTGCAAATTTTTTTTTTAATTTGCTTCAAAAATTCTTAAGCTGTTAAAGCCTTTTTGTATTTTGTGTATTATTTATTTTAATGTGTTTACTAATAGTTTCTAAATTAGAATCCGATTCATTTGTGCTAAACCTGTGTATTGTTAGTTTCCCAACTTAATTTAAATTTATAAGGGCCTATCTAACTTTTCTAGTTATGAGTCTTACAAAAACAATTATTTACTTTATACCTATTTATTTCAGGCATTTTGGCTCCCTTCAGCTGAAGAAGTTTAATGGGTTAGAAATTTTCATTTGTATAGATTTCCTTTTCGGGTTTCAAAGCTTCTTTAGATGTTTTAAGCCTACCATTTTTCTCCACCGTCGTCACTCAACCGCCTGTATAAATGTCTCATTTGTGACATCCTCTTAAATCATATTGTTAAAATGCATTCTTTTTAATACTAATCATTTCGACGCTTTTATTGACATAATCATTGTTATTTTGCCTTGTAGATACTGTTACTGAACAAAGACTACATACTTTTGTGGTATAAAATTGTGTTACGTTTTAATCTGTACATGTTGTAAAAGTATGTGTCAATAAATTTTACTTTATACTACTTAAAAAAAAAATACTGATTACCTTTAATCTCTTCTTTTCTATTTTTCATAATAAAATAATTTTTTTTTTTGTTATTTACACAGAAAAACAAACTGTTAGTAAAACTAATTCACTTTCACATTTTTGTGTGAGAGGTGGAAGTAAAAAAAAAAAATTCAGCACTTAGATTTTTAAACATTTACAGAAGAGTATTTAAATATTGGCATATATTTGCTTAAATATCCAGTATAAATTAAAAGTTTTTGTAAATTTCAGTATTTCATTAAATTATAATTTATCATTGGGACACAAATCTTTCTGTTTTGGCTTGCTGCTACCAGCAAAATAAATTCTAAGGTAAACTGTACCCTCCATTTTTATTCATAGCTGAATTATATTAGATCACAAGTAAAAACTAGTTTAACCCTTTATCTACTGCATTTTGAACTACTGAAAATTTTTTCATAAATATATTTTTTTTTAGCTACCATATTGATAACTAAAGAATATACAAGAAAAAAATCTCCCCAGTGCGAAATTTATTTTGTTAGAACTAATTAATTAAGGTGGTACTTAAAAGTACAGTTTTAATTAGTTAGTTTAAAGTAATTATTAGNTGAATTATATTAGATCACAAGTAAAAACTAGTTTAAAAATGTTCTATTTACTGGTTTCACTTGTTTTTAATAAAAAAATTTACACAACGGAGGATATTCTTTGCTTACGTTCATTACTTTAGTTTGCCTATTTAAGAGAGCTAAAAGTGTACTGTGGAACCCAAGAGTTCTATCGTAGAATCGTTAGGGTTTCTAGATAGCTTCTTTTAACCCCATAATTTTTGAAACCTGTAGTTCGATTTTATTGCTCGGAAAGTAATTTAATATTTACTCCACAGAAAATTTAATTCTTTTACAGCCAACTTCACACTTCAGCCATATAATCATTATCTATTTTTACAGCTGATATAGCAAGTCTTGCTGTTGAAAACCTTCAATTTATTTCTACACAGTAGTTTTCAATTGATGCCCTTTCAAATATGCTATTTAAAAGCAGCATTTTTGGCAAATTTTATCTATTTATTATCATAAAGGTAAAAATGCTGTTCAAGTAAGAAAAATAATTATCCGATGTAAGTGTAGAAGATGGATTAACAGTGTGTCAGTGCCACATATAGTTTTCTAAATCTGGCGAGCAATTTTGACAAGGTGCCCCATGTTCTGGAAGGCCAGTTGATGCTATTGAGACACAATAAAGGCATTAACTGATCCAAACCAAAAAAATAAATTTATCAAATTTAACTGTTCATGATAATTTAAAATGCCTAGGTTTAATCTCAAAGTTCAACTTATTGGTTTCTAATGGAAATTTATGCCATCACGTTGATGCTTACCAAGCATCAAGAAAATTAACCATTTTTGAAGTTAATCATTACTGGGGACAAGAAATGGGTTGTTTACAATATTTGTTTCAATCTCTACAAATATATTTAGATGGTAAAACTTTAACTTTAAATGAGGACAAAAATCATCTGGATCAGTTTTTGTGTCAGCAAAGAACAAAAATTTTATAAACGTGGATTTATGCTACTTACTTTTAGAAAGATAATAAAACTTTCTGAATGACCCAATATTTATGTCCGAACAATAATCGCTAATTTATTAAATATTTTAGTAATGTTAATAAAATTATTTAAATAAAATACCAGTTAAAGAAACGTGGCAATTTTAAAAGAAAAAAAAAAGGATATTTTTTTAAAAAAATATGTGAAAGAAGTCATTTATTAAAAAAAAAAACGTCAGTATTTCCCATCTAACTTTTCAATTCAGATTAACTACAGTACCTCAACCATAAGTCACAGGGTGCGTAGCGTTTTTAAAAAGTGCTTAAAGGTGCTTATTTTCGTTTTTTAAAAGCCCTTAAAGGTGCTTTTTTCATTGGGTGTTTTTAAAAAGTGCTTAATTTTCCATTTTTCAAAATAAGATTTTTCTTTTACTATGTTGATTTTCGCTTCGAATTATGCAAAAAGACACAGTTCACATTGTTCTGCTCAACGTTTTCATAATTAATTCAACCCCAATCTATTTCGACTTATAGTCGGTCAATAGCGTATGAAAACGTCATTCGTTTCACATGATTCAAAATTTCATGATTTTTGACAATTGTCAAGAACAATGCCAAAAGGTTTTTTTTTTTGACATGACGATTAAAACAAAATAAAACCGTCGATTGTCAAAAACTTTCCAACTCTGCCTAGCTATGATATTTTTTTGAAGTGTTTAAAAATATTTTTTGAGTGCTTAAAAGGCGCTTATTTTTTGTTGAATAATTTGGCTACGCAGCTTGAGTAAGCTTATTTTCATTAAAAAAAATTTTCAGATTATACCTACACCAAAAAATAAATTCAGAACAAGACTAGATGTCGCCCTAGACCTATGAATTTTAAGTCTAATATGAAAAATTTAGTTGCCTAGCAAAATAATTTGTAATTTTTCTGTGGCTATTATGTTCATAGTCACAAATGTTCTTCATTTATAAAGTCAGGGTTCTATCAATGAAAAGGAATCGCTACTAAAGTGGATTAAATTGTTATCAAACTCTGAAAGCGTTTGTTCAAAAGGTAGTACAGTGCAGAACCTCTTATCCGGAAATCAGATAACCGGAATGAAATTCGAAACCAGAAATGAATTTTCTTCCATTAAAAAAAAATTTTTTTCCTGCAAGATTTTGAGCCCATTTTGTTATTCAGAGCGTACGGGGTATCGAGTTAACAAAAGAACTGATTTAGAGGACGGATCAAAAGCCGTTTGTAGACGAATCTCACATAAGCACAAATAGCTTATATATGTTATTAATGTTAATAATAACATTAATAACATATATAAGCCTGTATATAATTTTTATTTCATAATTTCTTTCCTTATTTAAACTTAAGTGTATTATTATTTATCATTTTTTATTATTTCTAAAACTATTTCAAAATAATTTTTTAGTTTCGTTTTATAAACATTAAAAAAACGGCATTTTGTAGCGATTCAGAAAACCGGAAAAATCAGTTATCCGGAATCGCGATGGTCCCGATCGTTCCGAATAATCGGTTCTCTACTGTATTGACTACATAAATTTGAAATACTTAAATTGATTATAACCACAACTTCAGTTCAATAAATTGTTTAAAGTTTCACTTTTATAATTTTATTACACAACAACGGTTTTTACAAAAACAGAAAATCAAATTTTGGCAACTTCCAAATAAATATATATATTTTACAAACAAATAATATAATGCCACAGAAATTGGAAACTCACATTAGTAACTTAAAATTGGAAAATATGTTTCAAAATATAAATATATACTTTTGATCACAGTAAGAATGTAATATTTGTGTACTGATGATCTAAGGTGCAAAATGAGTGAAAAATTCCAATTTCAAGTGCTTGACCAAATAACAAAACTTTTTTGCCGGTTCCGGCTTCAAATGAAGATGTTCTTGAACATTCACTTGATTTAACATTAATAATGCTTGTCCATCGATTTCCTAAAGAAAATACATGAGTTGAAATGCTTTAGAAAATTTTTAATTGGAAAATAATTATTTTAATATTATCTTAATCACAATATATTTCTGTTTAACCTCTTAAAGCACAATTTTTTCCCGGAACATTTGTTGAAAAATGATAAGGATTTTTTTAAAAAAAAAAAGAATATATAGGTAGTGATAGTTGTTTTTTGTAATTTCAGTTGTGGAACCAAGGAGCAGAGGTTGGTGTAAAAGTTATTAAAAAATTACTCTACAAATAAAGTTTAAACAATTTGATTACAGGTTTATTTTGAATTTCAAAATATTAAAATTAATTCAACTAAAGAGATTTGAGTGGTTGAAATTTTCTGATAAATTGGCATATTCAAAATTGTTAAGACTCACTCATTATCGGCTAACTTTTTCAAAACAAGTTACAAAAGTTTTTACTTAAAATTAATTTATGGTTAATTGTTTACTTTTATGATATTTAACACAATAAAAATGTATTTATTACTTTTTCCGAACTCAATAACAAATTCCTAACAAACTTACAGCTAATCATCAAAATGTACCATGTGGTTTACGCAAGAAAAATGCTGTATAGGAAATGTTTGACACTTGTTTCTGGAATTAAAAGGTAAAAAAAATAAAATTAAATCTATTTTGGATTGAATAGTTTTGGTGCAGACATTCTAATGGTGGTTGAAATAACATTGTGTGTATAGATTAGCAAACGGGACTTCGTCTACTGGTCGTTTTAATAGAAGGGTCATACTAAAAAGCGATGACTCAATAATTTTAATTATGAGCTCATTTAAAACTAAAATAAATTTCTAAGTTAAAGTATTTGAATCCTGATTCATACCTTTGAAAATTTAATAAGAATGAACTTACCTGATCTTTAATTAATGGCGCCAAGGGAGCACACTCAGTTTTTTGTAAATATTTCACTACTTCTTCTACAGACCAGTCTAAAGGACTGCTTTCCAATTTGGAAACTTGTTCAGGAGGTTTGGTATCCTAGAAATAAAATTATGTTTAACTACTTCCATACACAACACTAAAAATAAAGAAATTAATTGTACTAATAAAAAAATTCAAAACATAACCAAAAGAACAATACTTTTCAGTTTCCACGATTGACCTATTGATAATACAACTATCAATGATATTTTTATTAAATTTATTTTAATAAATGATATTTTTATTGATAATACAACTATCAATGATATTTTTATTAAATTTCGCCAAATTACCTGCAAATAAGCTTATCTTTCAATTGTGAAAAGCTACTTTTGAGTCAAACTTGAAAATAATAATAAAATGCTTAATAAGTTTGCGTTGCCATTAATAAATTTTAAAAGCACTAAAAGTAATAAATATCTCTTCAAATAAGAACTCAAGAACTCTATCTTAATTTTAGTAAGTTTCTGCGAATGACCAAATATAGATGTCTAAGCTGATGTCATTTCACTTACCTGCCTACTGCTAATTTATCACTGATCAATCAGTTATTAGTAGCAACCAATTGAAATAGGTTTAATTTCAAAGATGCAAAAATTCAATTATACAAAATAATGCAAACAACTGGTTGCCATTAACAACCACAATGTGACTGCAATTGATTATATGATAACAGTCAAATGATTTAGTTCAGTTTTTGAAATTTTAGAGGAAATATTTAGAAGATTATTTTATAACTTTGAGCTGTTTAGGTCATGCGATTTTTTCATATTTATCAATAAAGTTTAAAGTTTTCAGAGTATTAGAATTAGAACTTCAGAATGCTGTCAGAAACCTATAATAAATTAAAAGCGAAAATAAGTATTTTTCAACATACTGAGCCAGAAAATGTAACAATAAGCTTGTAACTTGTATCAATTACTTTGGTTGTTATTTGCAAAAATTACCTAAAATTCCATATACCTAGCTTAAATACTTATGAAGATATGGACTTTTTTTTATAAAAAAAACTTATCTTTTTGTCTTATGTTCTTTTGCTATAACTTTAAATATATTCAATAAATTTAAACAAAATTTTTGAATCAATCTTTAATTAATTACAAAATTATTATTTTAAAAACTTGCAATAAAAATTGTACATGATATGAGAATTTAAAGAAATTCTTTCATGCATTGAAAAAAAAAATTCATACTTATGTTTTGAATCGTATTTGGTAAATAATGAAAAAAATCCAATTTAAATAGCTTGAAAATTTAAAAAGTTTCTAGCAATTTTTTTAACTAGTTTTGTATACTTTTTTAATAATAGTTCTAAATGATATGCACAATTTTTCTTTTGTATCAAAAGAAAAAATTCAATAACAAATGATAATACCGCTCAATAATCATTCCTACACTTCTAAATGTTATGATATAAGGAAAGAAAACATGTGAAAGAAAAAATACTTTTATGAGGGATGATCTGCCACATTGCAGATGTAACTTTTAACAAAACTCGTTTATTAGTATGAAATAACTATTTGTGGAATAAAATTGCTAGAAACTCTTATAACTTCAAGATATTCAAATCAGATTTCTTCAGTAGTTACTAAATAGAATTCGCAACAAAATATTTAAAAAAAAAAATTTTTTTAATTTTTTCATAAATATTAAAACTAAATTTACAAAATTTTATGCAATTATTGAAAATAATTTAAGTAATCAATACAAATTACGAGCTTATTGACATATTTTCTGCCAGAGGGTGTTCAAAAATACTTGTTTTCATTTGCAATTTACTGTCAATCCATCAAACCTCTGAAAGCTTTAAAATTTATTGACAGCTATGAGAAATTGCATGTTCTAAAAAAACAACTCTAAAGTTATAAAATAATTATCAAATCATTTCTTGAGAAATATAGAAATATGTCAAAAACTGAAAGTGTATCTTCTATTATGGTAGGGAAGTGCAAAAATACAAGGGGAATCCAGAAAGTGTAGACAAGCATAAATAATATTTACTAAAAAAAGAATTAGTGACTTAATAAATAGGCAAATGGTATTTATATAATGCTTCGTAGGTTCACATGAGAGGTGGAGATACCGATAACAATATAGCAGTAACCAGTCCTTGAAAAATATTAATATTTTCCCCGCCCTGCTCGAGATATGAAATCACAAAATACATGCCCAGATGAAACTTTTATTTACACAAACATAGTTTTTGAATCATATTAATGAAAACATATGAATGTAAACATATGCCTGATTAATAAAAACGCATGCTTGAACTGTATTTTTACTAGCCATTCTCAGGTATAATATGACTTAAGACTCATGGCAGTAACATAAAAATAAATAAAATTTTAAAACATCAATCTTTTACAAACCTTTTCCTCCACAGTATCTCTGGAACTGTTTTCTTCAGATTCTAATAACCGTTTAGCCTTTAAGTGAGCTGCAGCGATAGCCTTCTTTGTGCTGCCAAGAGGTCTACCAACCTTTCGTCCAGGAATAGGAAATGGACGTATGGGTCTCGTTCTAGGTCTACCTCTTCTAGAATGAAAAACAGACAAATGATGCCACAATCCAAAATTCGGTAGTTTAGCCCCTCGAGTTACAATGTTTGAACTAGGTGTATGTTTTAGTTTTTTCTTTCCAACTAAAGGAATTTTTGAGGAGGATGACGAGGTACTGTCCCCCGAAGATTTACGAGATTCTCCTTTATCACATTTTTCCTTTATTGTTAAAAAATCAGATTCATCAATATTTATCACAGAGTCTTCTTTATCCCGCCTTTCTCTATGTTCTACAATTAGTTTCGGTGGGTCGTCTGTTTCGCTCGAATCTCCAGCTTTTCGTTTCTTTTCCTCATGAGCTTTAGTAAAAGCTTTTAGCAGGTGAGTCCAGTGTTTTCGCTTCTTTCGTCTACCGGGTCCTCTTTTTACCACTTCTTCATCGGGATTAGAAGGGGTATTATTGCTGGAAAGAGGAGGTCGACCCACTTTTTTCTTCTTAACAAAGTTATAACCTTGAATTAAAAAGAAGTTACAATTACGATAAATAGTTTTACAGACAATAAAAAAAAGAAAGTTATGGACCTTAAAAAAGTTGCCATATATTGTACAAGTTTAACATGTAAATTAAATATGGTGCATCCATATATGCACCGTATACCGGTGTATAAGTTGAACCCACTATTTTTTATTACAACATAGCGAATTTCTGGTGTTTCGAGTGTATAAGTTGACTGTTAAAAAAAATTTAAAAAACATAAAAAAGTTAAATCTAGTACCGTAAACCGGGGGGAGTCTACCCATTTTTTCAGTTTGTCAACTTTCAAGTGGTCAAACTTTTGTAAATATTAAAGAAAAAAGGTTTTTAATAGGTGTTTCGGAATCGCTATTTATTCCTCTTTAAAGCTGTGAAATCAATTTTAGAAAATATTAACAGTTATGCTGTTACTGTATATTTTTATAGAACTGCTGACAAATCTCTCGTATGGGGCGAGTCTACCCATTCTACTAAAATGAATGTTAACATTGTAAATAATCAAATTTTACTATTAAATTGT